GAACTAACTTTCTAACTTCTTTCTAACCGGATGCCCATTTTCACTGAACCTTCGGTTCACCGAGGCAAGGCGATAAGAGTAAGTCAGCTGTACAATACTTGCATTGATATTGCGAGCACTAGAAGAAGAGGGAGGAGACTTATTCCCCAAGATCTCTTTACACTACTTAAAGAACATTTAGACGAATTAAAATTACTTGCCTTGAGAAACGCAACGGATATCCAAATAACTGTGCCTCTCACAGACGCAACCTCAGTTCCTACCCAAGGTGCACCTCCTCCACACCCCATCGCAACGTGTAAAAGAAATTACGGTAACGGAATCGCAAACGCAGATCTCTGTTATTGCAATGGAAATGAAACCTTTGCCGAAATCATGGCCAAAACTCCGAAGGAACGCGATCTGGCTATCTTGATATACCATAAAATAGATACCAAAGGTCACATTAATGATAAACTCAATGAACTCATCCCCTTAAAAAACATAAAAAGTAAAATAAACCACATTGCTCCGATTAAAAATGTAGGAATTGCCATCTGTTGCAATTCTGCAGAAGAGCTAAAGATGGTGTGAGATGCACTAAACGATATAGCGGATGCTGAATCCCTCTTTGATATTAAGACTCCAAATTTGAGATGACCCAAAGTATCCATTAATAATATTTCTAAAGATACTCCTCCATAACTCGTTATAGAAGAACTTGTTAATCAGACCAACACTGACAAAGAAGGGATATCTGCTCTCTTTAAGGCAAAAGGAAGACTTCCTAATACTGTAAAATGGATGTTTGAATGTAATTCTTCAACCTCTAAGACATGCATGGAACACAGTAGCATTACTTATAACTGAAATTTTCTCCCTTTTGCAGACTTCTTTGGCATCAAAAGATGCTTCCAATCTCAAGACTTTACGCATTCTCAGTACAAGTGCAAATTTAAATTATATTGTGCATTCTGTGGAGGCAATCACTCAATAAAAGAATCCAGAGCCGATATATCTAATTGCATAAATAGCATATTGTACAACAACGCAAATGGCACAAACATTAATTACAAGCATGCAGCATATGCACCTCAGTGCCCTCTGTACAAAGAGAAACCTAAAAAATTAAAGCATATCACAAATTATCAAATAGTCTAAATTATACTTCATTTCGATTCATCAACGCAATTTAGCCTATTGATTTACTTAGTTACTTTTCTCTTTTTCTCATTTTTCATATTGCAAAGTTGTTATGGATGCCCCATTTACCACAAATCCTTCAATGCTAATCAAAACTTCACATTTTCTCAAGAACCTTAATTGCCTTCAGTGTAATCTTAGAAAATGCAAGGAAGCCACATTTTCACTTGTGCAATTCGTCTCCGAATCTAATTACGATATCTGACTAATCCAGGAGCCATACAGCGTGAAAGGAGAGATTAAAAGGGTTCCTTTTATCATGGAATATTTTATATAAAAACTTATGCAAGGATTTTCCAGTCAAAAAAAAAATCCCAGAGCATGCATTGTCGTAACGAGCAAAAAACTTGACCCTACTGTATGCAAAATTGATAGAGACTATCTCAATTAACTAGGTACAATACAACTATGAATTCCTTCTTGCTACTGCTCGCCGGCAGAAGAAATTAAAAGAAATCTTATACACCTTGGCAATATAATTCAGAGCGCTCCAACTCCACATCACTTTATCGGTGGGGATATGAATGCCCACTGCGTGCAATAGGGATATACAAAATCAGATTATAGAGGCGAACAAGTAGACGATTTTATAGCAGCTAATTCTCTCATCCTTCCTAACAACACCGCACAAAAGCCTACCTTCAAAACATGCTCAGGTAAAGATTGGCCTGATCTGACCCTTTCAAGCACAAATGCCAGCACCTTTTTTTTAAAAACTGGGCGATACTGGATGAGGAAAATAATTCGGATCATAAAAATTCATAACATTCACTTTGAGATTGATCTCACAATTTCTAGTACCGGCACGAAGCGTTTTCACATAACTGAATCTGGCATCGAAAAATTTAAAAATCTCCTTGCTAAAAAAAACTTCATTCTGAACGGCATAAACTACTGCAGGGATCGCAATCAATTAAATGAATTCTCCAGTAACTTTTTCTCAATCATACAAAGAATATCCCAACAGCTCTTTAAAATTAGAGCTCCAAGAAATAAACACTCCAAATTGGTGACAAAAGAATTGAGGGCAGAAAGGAATAAAACTAAGGCCTTAAAGAGGAAAATAAAATCTACACTGGAAGACAATTCCAGGAGTGCTGCTTTGCATGAGATACAACGAGCAAAGAAGGATTTACAAAAAGAAAATTATGGAAGCTAAATTAACCTCGTGGAAAAAATTTTGTTCTCAAAATAAAGATACGTATGGCATCCTCCATAAATTGGCAACTAGGAAATTCTTCATTCCCACAAACATTACGCTTCCTGACAAAGATCACGCAAGCAACAGCAATAGTATTCCTGATTCCCCGATTCTATCGCAAGAAGCAGCAACCAAAATCCTCGACGCCATTTTCATGGATGACAATTCAGAAGGTGGCACGTCCGAGTAGAGAGACATTAGATTTTCCAATTTCTCACAAAATGGTTCAGAAGATTTCCTCTTTACTCCGCAAGATATTAATAATATTATCAAGCACCTTAAAAATACGAAAGCCCCGGGCCCCGAGTCTATAAACAACAAAATTCTAAAAATTATACACAATTATGACCCAAGAATCTTTCTTAACTTCTTCAATAAATGCTTAGAATTATCGACCTTTACCGATAATATTAAGAAAGGACAAATAATATTTTTCGAGAAGAAGGATAGAAACCCCGAAGATCCTTCTATATTTCGGCTAATAAACCAGCTCCCCACCATAGGAAAAGTTCTAGAAAGACTTATTGCCGGACGGTTGAGACATCACTTCATCAAAAATCAAACAATCAGTAAAAACCAGTACGAATTCAAAGCCAACTCAAGCACTATTCATGCAATTGATCAAAATACTGAAGCAAATCCAACAGAATAAATCAAAAGGTAAACATAGTGCACTTATTTGTGTTGATTTAAAAAGTGCCTTCGACTCACTATGGTGGCCTCCAGAATTACATGCACTTAATAAAGCCAGCTATCTAATCTTCTCAATATTCTCATACATTACTTTCATAATACTGAAAGCACATCCATTCATAACAAAATGCTGACCAGCAAAAATTTACTACAGTATGTCCTCAAGGATCATGCCTGAGTGCTGATTTCTGGGCCCTAACCTTTAATGACGTCTTAAAGTATGAATTTCCCGATCGTACGCAGGTCTTCGGGTTTGCGGATAACACTGCTTTGGTTGTTAATGGCAGGACTAGAGACATCCTCGAAAGGAATGTGAGCGGTTCTCTCAAACAACTTAACATAGAATGCCAGAGGATGAAACTCTGCATTTCGCAAGAGAAGTCCAAGGCTATACATTTTATCAAACCAGGCCAAAAGCTTTTAAGGAAGCCCACCTTCATCTTGGATGGAAATAAAATTAAGATTACCTAAGTCCTGAAGTTTCTATGTATCCACATAGGTAACCAACTTAATTTTATTTATCATCTCACGGAGACTCAGAAAAAGACAATTCAAATCGCTAATAACTTCAAAAAAAAAAAAAAAAAAAAACCGCAAGGCAGCAACTGGGGACTTCGTCATCATATTCAAAAAATTTTATATGCAACAGTAATATCGAGTATAGTGATTTATGGGGTTCGGCGCTGCAACTTGGTTTGAGACTATGACAGACAGGAAGAAAAGGAAACTTTTCGCCATATAGAAACCTTTTCTCCTGAACATCTGCAAAGCCTATAGAACGACAGCTAATTACTATTTATGCATTCTCACTGGGATACCTCCCCTTCATTTAATTGTGACAAAGGAATCAATAAAAGCCAAAGTACTCCAGTTGAAAGTTGAAAGAAGAATGCTTACGTTTCGTACCTCAAAATATGAGTCTAAAGCGCCATATCACTGACTTACCATCCCTGCAAAGTTTAAGTAAATTTAATAATCAATACGGACGCATCAGCAATCAATAGTCAAGATTGTCCAAGAGCATTTACAGACGGCTCTAAAATTCATGGAGAAGTGGACGCAGCTTCAGTAATCTACTCATCTTCCTCTATTCCAGCAATATGGCAAGGAAAATTATCTTCAGAAAATTCTGTTTACCAAGCTGAGCTGTCAGCAATTCAATCTGCAGTAAATAAAGCCATATCAAATAATTTCAGGACAATGGCAATTTATTCAGATAGTCAATCTGCATTATATGTCCAGAAGGACTGGTTCGGGATATTCAAAACACAATAAGCGCCCACCCAGAAATCCACTTTTTCCTCAATTTTGTGAAAGCCCACAACGGGAACGACGGCAACGAGGCGGCTGACCTCCTTGCAAAGGATGCAACGACTAACATCAAGAGTGAGGTGATCCAAGTCCCATATAAAATTTTTACTGAATGCAATTCTCGACTCAAAGTGGCAGGAAGAATGGGATTCTGCATTGCAAGGCAGAAGAGTCCACGATTTTTTCCCAAGAACTGACAAAGAGACACTACACTATGACCATGTTCTGAATCAGTATATCACAGGGCACGGTCCTTTCCCAACCTACTTCCATGACAGAGGCATGTGCCCCACGGATCTCTGCATATGTGGCGAAAGGGGTGACCCTGATCATTACATTTTTGACTGTAATCTAACAGACGGTAAACATCTGATTAAGCCTAACAACAATCCAATACCATTTAAGAAATACGCAATAAAGAGCAGACACCTTAGGGCCAAAATCAGAGACGTTTTTATACATGTCTAAAGACTCGGACTGGATATTTTTCATATCTAATGCTTATTTATCTCCATATATTACTAAAATATATTTATTTAAATTTTATAACTTTTATAATTTTTATTTTTATAACTTTTATTTTAGACAAGACTTAATGATGAAAGCAACCAAGTTATTTAATAAGAACTTTTATTTAGAAAAACTACAATACAAAAATATTTCTCTGAAAAACAGATACTTCAGAACAAAATATTAATTTTACAATACTTACAGAAACAGAGCTACAAAAATAATAGCTAGTTTCTGTTATAAGAAAATTCTTTGACAATGAAAGTATAACTATACACTGCTCACAATAATAATATAAAAATGTTAAATATTAACTTTGTTCTTACAACATGTGCAATATTATCACATATCTTAGTTTGTTCCCATATTTTTAAAACTTCATTGGCAAGAGAGTCCATGCACAGAACATAGACAGAAGTTTGATATAACTTTAAAAACTCGCACATATGAGCATTATCTAAATATTATTTGAGCACAAGTTTATTTGCAAATTTCAGATGTTTTATCCATAAAAAAATAAATACAACAATTTTTTAATGATTTCTCTTCCTGTACAATCATTCCTATAACACAGAATTTAAAAACATTTTGTAACCAACAGTCCAAGCCTTTGTTTAAATCCAGTTTTTCTTACAAATGGGCAATACCAAGCCCTCAGATCAGGAAGACATTAGTAATCAAGGAGTGGTAAGGAAGCTTTAAACTTTAGATTTTAAAAGAAGCTATACACTCTTTTACCAAGCTCATTCATGTCATTGATTAAATACTAAAACAATATTATAACTATTGTAATACAAGTACTGCTGTACTGTGTTGTCATTACTATTACTTTTGCAGGACCATATATGCAGTGCTCACACAAAGGGCAGTAACCCAAAAGTTTAAGAAACAGTGGTTTAAATACAGCAGTTTCATAAAGATTATTATTAACCAACATCTTATCAATGACTGAAGTAAATTTAAACATGTTAACCATAAGAAATTCTAGATGCAAATAAATACTCTATGTATAGTACACATTTTTAATGTCTTAAACTGGATCATGAAGGCAGCAACATCTCATTTTATGTAGGTAAAAATACATAAATTCTTAGCACCAAGTCTTCCTTAAAGAGATAAAGGCACTACTTTATAAATGTTTGAGCAATCACAACAGCTTCTAAGTTATTCAGAAATAAAACTTAAAAGATACATAAAAATGTAACAAAAAGATTTGAAAAACTGTAATGTAGTTTGAAAGCTTTATACATAAAAAATATATTTTTTAACTATTGTAACCTATAAAAATCACAGAAGTTATATTAGCATTCTAAAAATTTTAATCGAACTTCCTTGTGTACTCATTAAGATGTATGTTATTAAGTAAGTAAATATAATAATAAAATATCTTTTAGCTATAAACAATGCAATAAAATTTTGTTATAAGAGCATAAATACGATCCTGAAATGCAAGGAATTGATATTTTTTATTTACCTACCATACCCTAAAAGAAGCTCTCAGTTTAAGATAAAATTTTAACTGAATAAAGATTCAGTGTTCAAAATACATCATTATGAGAAATCTAAATAAAGGTTACGATACGGTTACTGCCTATGAATAAATAATGCTATGCAGAGAAAATAACAGTTTCTTGTCAATTTCAGTCTGACTACATGAAAATTATTTGCGAATGTTAAATGTTTCTTAATGACAGTGAACCTCCTGAAATCACCACTTTAAATGAGTAAGCATTTCTTACAATTTAACTTGTTACCTTTTTAATTTAAGAGCTGATTTTTATAATTTTCTTATATATACAATCAGTTTTTTAATGTTACAGGTATGAAGTATATACATAATTTAAATTTTTTTTCAATCAAAATATATTATTATTCCTTTTATATGGCTTTTGGAAATACTTATGTCATGGAGAATTTACAAATACAGCAAATTTCAGTATATGAACAATGGGAGATTTGCGAAATACAGACATGCATTCAAACTTTCAGTAGCTGCCTTAAGACAGACATTATATTTATTGTTAAGAATTAATGATTTGTCGGTCTCTCGGTATGTGGGAGCCCTTTGTAATTGCTACATGTGTTATTCATACAGCCTCTGCATATGGAGTGCAAAAACTTTAGAATTAATCAGAAAATAATTATGATGAGAATTTTATGAGTATATTAAAAATGCACTGCATTAATGATTCAAGATTATAAGGAGGGGGTAAAATGAAGAAATAAATATTGAGATTCTTTTAAAACTTTTGATATAATACACATTAGAAATATAGGCTATATGCTGATATGCTTTATTAGTTGGCTAATATTAATTTGATCATGTATTCTCCAGATATTTCTTATAATTATCAAATATGAATAATTTATATGAAGTGGCACAAATTAAAAGTTCATTTTGCCATGTACTGCTTAGTTTAGTATAAAATGCCGAGCATAATCTTGTATGTAATGCACACAATCACAATACCATACTGGTAATTTTTTAAGTGTATAACTTTACAAATTAGTCATATTGTCACCTAAAACGTAGAGCAACACTGAAAAAACTACTGCACAGAATGTTATACATATTCACTTATGCACTTTTGAGTTTTTAATCATTTTCTTTACTAAGAAAAAGGTAAAGAAAATGATTTGGAAAGCATTTCAGTGCATAGTTTGAAATTAAACAAGGGCTGAATCAAATATACCCCTTCAAATATTCATACAAAAGTATTCTATTTTAAAACCAGTGAAGATTTACATAACATTTTTTTTTCAGTCAGAGAATTTCGTACATTCTTTTAACTTGAAATATTTTTAAACAATGATACAAGATATAACATTTGCAAGTTTACATTAATATACAATAAAATTCCCAAAATGCTACAAAATATACAAACAGGTGAATTTACACTCTCATCAAATGCACAGTACGAAGAATTTATTTTATACAAAATAACTGGACAGATTTTTATCTATCTCAGCAAATGAATGAAATGTCTGTCCTTTTTCACTTATAAAAATGGCACAATCACAATTTTGCAACACTACAAATGCAACTGCCTGATGATGTACATGAATAAAATTGATATTGTTCAATTTTACTACAATGAAAAGCTTAATATACACAATGAAACTTTTGGCTGTCCATCAGCAAATGCATTAAATGCTGCAATTCTTAAATAATCAGTAGTAAAAACCACGAAACTGAACATCTAAGATGAAGATTCAAGAAAACATATTTGAGTTAAAAACTAGAAAATGTATAATAAATAACTCTGCACTATTCTGTGATTTCAGAGATGTCTTTTTGATGTATAATATGAACTATACAAAAATGAAGAATATGTGAAGTCTCAAAAGCATTAGCACTCATTTTATGGCAGACATGCAGCATATCTTAAATCTGAATTTCAGACACTGTGTGATATTTTTTATATAAAAACAGCTTCTGGCGACTGAGCCACAGAAACTTGTTGGTTAGTACTCACAGGTAACAGTTTTTGATGCTGTGAATGATCAACTGCATGTTGAGGATGAACATGTCCCATTGGACTGGCTATGCTCTCAGACCAGTCTGACTGGGCAGAATGTGGTGATGAGCTTGACCATTGCCCTGGTGATTCAGGAGAAGGTGTCAAGTAAGTCTCAGGTGGATGAAGATAATGTTGTGGTGTAGATTCACCACCACTATGACTGTGCTGAGATGGAGGTGTAGGATAATGAAATAAATGAGGGTATAATGATTGCTGTCCATTACCTTGCACCCCTGTCTTTAGGCTAGATCCCATTAAGTGCTGTACATCAGATATTGCTGAAGGATAGTCATATGTTGGATTACCCCCACCCTGAGACTGTAGTTTTGTAGTCCGTTGGTGATGAGCAGCTCTCATTGCTGCCATATGAGTAGGTGATGTAGGTAAGGATGGTCGCTGTTTTATTGGCGAGGCAGAATTGTAAGGACGTGATGATGGCGGCACTGCACCATTATTTGGCATGGAGTTTTGCCGCATGTGATGTGAAGATGCATTCTGCATAGAATTTGTTAAACCAGGATCCAAATACATTGGACCCAATCCCTGATTATCCATTGACGCAGCCATTGAGCAGTAGTTTATTTTAAGCCTATCATCATATGAAGGCAACTGTTTCATAGTATTGGGCTGCAAATGTAACACATTAGTCAACTGTGTATAAATTGGCTCAGAATTTTCTATTCCACTTTGCCCCATACCATTTGGAGAAGTGAGGGATTCACCAGGTGAGAGGGACATAGAACCATCCATTCCTTGTACAAGCATATGTGATGATTCTTTTCGCCTTTTAATTGATGGTTTCCTTCTAATTCCATTTTCAACATTCTGAGTTGCAGATTCAGATGTTTCCCTTGTTGGTGCTGAACCAACATTGTTTATTTTAATTCTTCGTTTAGGTTTTGATTTAGAAGACCCAAGCAGGCTTGATAGTAGTACTGCAGGTGATCCTGAATTCAAATTACCATTTGCTATCTGAGGGCTCGGGGGAACATACTCTTCCAACAAACGCACAATGTCAATATGCATGCGTTCACAGGCTACGTCACGTGGTAATCTGTCCATATGATCTGTAATTTCTTTGTTTGCTAGATTTTCCAAAAGGATTTTTGCAGCTTGATAACTACCTTCTCTGGCAGCAAGAAAAAGAGGAGTTTCTTCTTTATTATCCTGTGCATCTTTGTTAACACCATGTGATATAAGTACACGAACTGCATCAACATTATTTACAGCTGCAGCCCAATGCAAAGCTGTTTTACCTGCAAGAAGATATAAAACTCATTAAGATAATTAAAAATACATAATTTAATTCACATTTATACAGGATGCACTATAATCAAAAGATAGAATTTACAAGGATACAAGAAACAAGAACATACTCATATGATGTCCGCAATTTTTACATCTGCACTATAGGACTGATAATAAGATTCAAATTCTGATCACGATATTTCAAACATTTTTTTAAACCATTTGAGAATACAGCCATTAAAATATTTGATTTGAAATGAAGAGTTAAAAATGTTAAGAATTAAAATCAATTTTCCATTACAAGTTATTGCTCAACAAAAAGCTGTTTTATGATAATATTCAATATAATGAATCCCAATCAAAATCCAACTGAAATTACAGTTGCTATAATTAGGAGCAACTTTAGAGTTTTAAAGACCAATTAAAAAAAGGAGAAAGACAAAGAATTATATTTCAAACATTTCAGATATTTTTTTGCTAAAAATACTGCAACTTTTTTTAAAGGGAATAATTAAGTTTCTTAATTTACAGCAAAACAAATTAAAATTCAGAAACTGCAATATATATTCAATACTGGAAAAGTTAAAATATATTTTGATGTAAGAATATTAAAAAGGCTAAATTATTAATGTTATAAAAAAATCAGACGAAAGCATTATGCTATAGGAAAGCATTTATCTGCTACTATTAATATTTAAATGCAGTGTTCAGGGTTAAAAAACATCGCTGCCAATAATAATAATTTATAAAACATTAAAAATCAAATAGTATTAATAGTACTAATCTATATTATAATTAAACTGCTGGTATACAACAGCTTGGTCTAAACCAATACATATTGACTTTACGCTGAAAGCAAAAAGTAGATTATATTCTAGATTGGCCTGCAAAACCTACCATGATCATCCGCAGCATTAATATCAGCCTCTGCATTCACTAGTTCTTCTACCATACCTTCAATTGCAAGACGAGCAGCAAGTATTAAAGGGGTTGTTCCATCATGCATGCGAGCATTCAGGTTTGTAGCTCTATTCCTCAGCAAAATCTGGAAATAATTACATAAATATTTTCATTAAATGTGCATTTATAATATACTTAAGAAAAGCTAATGCATTTAATTAAAAAAGAAAATTTACAAAAAAGACTTACAGACAGAATTTGATGTTACTGATAGAAGTTTATAAGGTAAATAAATTTGCATACTAGATATCATAACAAACTAAATTAATATTTTAACTTGGCATAATACAAATTTATTGTATAAGGGGAAAAAAAAAGAATATAATCACAAAAAGATTTATTTTTATTTATTTATTTATTTTTTTCATTCTTGTCACAACAGTTAATTTTTCATAGATGTAGAATTTTGTCAGAATATTCTTTGAACATGAGACTGGTTTATACAAGTACAAAATATATAATAAACTCTGAACTCATATTTTTCATAAAAATATTTGGTACTTTTCCGTTTTGCCGGCACAGGCGATAAAGTCGCCTATAACGGTACAACTGATGCCAAACTGAATATCTTCGCAGGTAACCTTTTACGCCTCGTCTTCATAACAAGTCGCAGCCATTTCTTATCAGATGATTGTTTCTTTCAATACTGGCATACAATTATATAGAATTTTTACCCAAATAGTTCAGTTTTATGCCCTAGGATCATTCGTGATAATTAAGTCGATTAGGATGCAATCACACCACTCACCCAAAGGTGAAAATACAAAAAAGGCAAAGTCAAGGGTTAAATTTATCAATTCTATTAAGAATGCACTAGCGAAGTACAACACTGTGGTTTTATATAATTTCTGAGTAAGCTATTTGTACAAATTGAATTAATTCCTGCATTTAAACTTGTACTCCAAATTAAGATTTAACTTGAAATTAATGTAGATAATTACCGAGAGAATTAGATTTTTGTAGTGTACTTTACGTGAGATGAGATCACTTGTGGTAACGTGATATGAACCGGCGAATCAGGGTGTTGAATCATGAAAGCATAGTAAATTCTTAAATTAAAATATTTTTACAAATTTGTTGTCTTTATTTATTGGCGTTTTACAAAATTTTAAATGATATTAAAATGTTTATGCCTTCAAAATAAAAAATTTTTAGAACTAAAATTTTTTATGTGCATACTTGTATATGATATGTTGCGCCAATAAAGTCTGCTTGGCGAGATTTGCGCCGGCGAAACGAAAAAGTACCAAATATTTTTAGTTACATATTTATTTTTGATTCTCTCTGACACAGATCATACTGAAAAATTACATATGAAAATGTATTAAAAATTTTACGTATTATCATCTATCAAAAAAGCCTTAATATGCACAAGTTATATAATTTATTTCAATGTCCAGATACTTTTATTCAGTTTATAAAAGATATGCTTTTCAGTCTCATGAAACTAAATTTTTAACATACTTGAAAAACTCCTTGTGCATCTGCTGAAACTGCTGCATGTAGAGGTGTACGCCCTGTGTTATCTTGTGCATTGGCATCAGCTCCAGCATCTAAAAGTCTTTTAGCAGCATCAGCTCGTGCATATCTTGCAGCTAGATGCAAAGATGTTTCTCCTAAAAGTATTCATGATTGAATGTTACATCACAAGAAATTATGCATCAGGATGACATAATGGGGAAGGGGGAAAGGTGCACAGAAGAAAGATTAATTAATTAATTCAATACCATGAATAAAAAACTCCAAAATTATTTAATTTCTACCTTTCACATACCTGTTCTTTCTAAAGTCATGTTAATTTTAGCTCCCTGCATTAACAAATCTTGTATCATGCTACCAGAGCCATCATCATCATCTCCATCTTCAATAACATCTATTCCTCCTCCTCTAAAGGATGCCAACATCAAAGGGGTAAGACCACCTTACAAGAAAGAAAAAACAATGAGCCTATGAAATGTAATCTTGAGATATATTACAGCTCAGTTTCAATAGACAGAGTACATTTACAATAATTTCAACAAATACGATATTCAGTGGCACAGCTTCCCGGTGGGGGGGGATCTCTCCCCAGGTGCATTATCCATACAATTTTCTTTCCCTTCCCCATTGCATTTTAGCAAAGAGGAAGGGATGCAAAATCTTCATTTGACCTTAGGTGCTGAAAACCCTAGCTATGCCTCTGATAGTACTTCCTCATTGAATCACTATTTAAAATGCCACAGTTTCAGCACCATGCAAGTGTTAATTTAAACTTCCCAGCAATCAAACGCTGCCTTAAGGATCAATATTTCTTCCCCAATATAATATCAAATAAATATATTTAGTTGTCTGTAGTCTAAAAACTTTAAAGAACCTTTGACTCAATACACATACATATTTATTTCTTCTAATATCCATGACTAAATGCTACCTAAAAATCTATCACTAATCTGTAACCTAGAAAGCATTTCTGTAAATGAGAAAAAAATTAGCATTTAGCTTCTTCATACTCTCAATAACCTAATGAATAGTATATATGAACTTATCAAAATCAATTTCCTAAGGTGGTTTGTAAGTCATTTGCTAAATTGGAGACTATAAAGTTTAAAACAGTCAAAATTTCTAAGAATCAGTAAAGTTGTTAAGCTATTCATATTTCTCTTCCCTCAATGCTCTTTTTCCCATGATTTTAACTTCATTATGGTAGGTGAATATCACTTGATATTCCATTTTTTTGTATGTACTGTGCTTTGATAAATGGCAGAGATCTAAGAAATTTCAAAAACTGGAAATGACTGACTGTGTAAAAAGCACGGTTAATATATATCTTAAAAAAAAAAAAAAAAAAAAAAAAAAAAAAAAAACTAAGATTCAATGTGAAATAAAGATCTTATAAAGCAGCGTTTCCCAAACTGTGTTTCACAAAAAGTTATGAATTGAGATTAGGGAACAAGGAAACATTGTCTGCTTCTATGTATTAAACACAATTTAAAACAACTCTTTTAAATTGTGTTTAATGCATAAAAGGTACATAAAATATAAAGAAATTTAAAGAGAAAAACTAAAATAAAGTGGTTTAAATTACACACATAATAAATATATTAATGTTGCATGACACCAAATGGTTTATGTTGCCAACAAAATATGCACAGAATGCATTTGTGATAGTGTTTCTGTTATATGCTCAGAAGCAAAGGATATGTTTCAGTGTTTCCCACAGTGCCATGGGACAATGTTTGGATTCAAAATCGCTTCATGACAACCAGCCAATCGCTGAGAACACAGCTGATTTTAAAACATTAATTGATACGATATCTGATTCTGGTATAAAACAAAAATTTAAACAACTGCCTTTAAACAAATTTTGTGTAAGTTTGTCAGAAGAATATCTGAACTTATCAAAACAGAATACTCATATTTTCTTTTCTTTTATGACAATTTGTTTATTTATCAGCATTATTTTATATTACACTGCAATAAAATTCAGATACAGAACCCAACTTAATGTGGTATATTATACAAAAATTCATGTTTCTATCACTACATCTGACATTAAAAGGATTTGTAATCTGAAGACTCAAACACATCATAGTTATTAAAAATTAAGAATGTTTACATTTTGTTATATTATATCTTTCATTTTATTAGCTTTATGTGTCAATTTTTGTAAAATTAAAGACTGAAAAATGTTTCTTTTAAAGGTAGGATATAAAAAGAATAAATATTTACTTTGTTTATCTCATATACCCATGTTTTTATTTTTCATAACTAACACAAATTAACTCTTGTGTTCCTTCAAATTTTTAGAACTTGAAATGTGTACCACGATGAGAAAAGTTTCAGAAAGATTGTCTGTATGGACAAATGCTGAAATTGAAAACTGAAAATTACATAGCAACATTCACGTGGTACATGAGAGCTGGTAGCGCAAACATCACAGCATATAAGAAAAAACAGTCTTCAGAAAAATTTGCTTCATTTACCATGAAGATTTACAAGAATTGATAATAAATTTGATAAACTGGTAACTAAAGAAAATGTTCTAATGATAAGATATGAAACTGTAACAGAAATGTTTAATTTCACTAAATGTTACTTTAGAAAATGCTGAGTTTTGATGACAGATTTTAATATACTTGGATTCAAATCTAAAACAGACAAGGTAACTCCCATTTTGTACGAATGAATGTGAAAATTAATAACAGCTCAAAATAAAGCAGACTTTAATGATTACTTTTTTGTGCAATTGCACACGAAAGATTAAACTGCTGACTCTCCACAAGGAAAATTAAAAAGTAAAAATATATCTTATTTTAAGGAGATGGATAAAAATTACCTTCCTGTCACTCATTTACAAGTTTGAAGCTTATTGAAAAATAACTCCCCCTCCCCCCAAGTCATTCTACAATCTTCTTATCTCAGAAATTAAAAAATTTTCCTAAACTAAGAAAGGGACAGCATATAGCACTGTTGCTTTTGGACACCACTCAGACGATCCATTCTGGACACATATGCTTTTCAAACATGGCAAAAGGTCTTACAACTTCCAAAGAAATATAAGAACTCTAAGGAAGATTTATACATAAGAAAATATATCTGACAATCTATCGAAATGTTTTGAAGGATACATTAGATTCAAATTTTACTTGCTAAGATAAGTCATGACACACATGACATTACAAGATAACCAAATAAGAATAAACACTAAACACATATTTACCAGGTCCTTGAACATTAACATCTACACTCCCAGGTTCCATATCACCATCTCCCTGAGGTGGGGTTAAGGCTAAAATATCAGGGTTTCTAACATCAGCAGCATCCAAATGCTGTTGAGTCCATTGACGTGGATCACTCTCATCATACTCAGGTGGTGCAATTGAACTCTGACTGTCACCAAAACTCCCATCTTGAGATTTCTCACTTTTCATTCTTTTGACAGGGGGATGATCCAACCCATCATCATCACTCCACTGATTAGAATCGGATGGCGGCAAAGGAGGAGCTGGAGGAGAGGCAGCATTGTCATTGGAATTTACATCCACTCTATTGGCCGAAGACTGTTTGTTCAAATTTCTAAAATGGAAAGAAAATAATTAGTCTAGTAATTCTTAAGCTAAAAAATAATGTCTAACAGATAAAACAAAATATTGTTAAGTACTGCACTTGTAAAAAAATTTTGGTATCATATTTTAATGGAAATATCCATTTTGACTGTTCTCGAATAAATTTTGACCATTTTTTTGCATGATGTCTGTATGGATGGACAGAATAAAAAAACTCTTTTTTCTAATACAGACTATAAAAAGGATTTTTTCTGATGTATGTATGTATCTTGCCCAACACAAAAATGATTAGCCATAGAACCCTCAAATTTTGTATATGGGACTGCTATAACCTCTAGTTGTTCAGCTCCATTCTTTACTGCATTTAGCAGCACTAAAGGCATTGTATATATATATATATATATATATATAATATATAATAATTTATTTCCTAAACATATATATATAGAGAGAGAACCACACCTCTTTCCTGTCTTTTATTTTCACATTCATTCATCATAATCATATACTTTCAATTACAGAAGTGTTTTAAATGAAGAAAATATTCATGTTTTGGCAATGTCAGATTAATTAATTTTGGACAAATAATGAAATTGTCTTTTAATGTGGTCTTCTGGTTCCTATGCTTATATTTAGAGAAGTTTAATACTCATTAAGAAAAAATAAAATTATGAGAAGTTTGATCACTGTAAAACAAAACTGACCAGGATATTTAATTTCAAAATTTGTAATTTTTAGAGTAATTTTCAACTTGCCTTGAGAGTTCAGCTAATTAAGTTAGAATAATTTGAGGAAATAAGCACAAATGAAGAGTAGTAAAATATGTATAAGATAATGGGCCATACAAGGAAGTCATGTGCACAGAATACAACACATCAGATTTTTTTTACTAATTTTATCGTCCAAAAATTGAAAGGGGAAAATTATGCAAATAATTTATTTTCTAAAGGACATGGTTATAGTAAAAACATCACAAATTAATAGTTATGGCTAAAGTACAGATGCCTACCAAATAAAAATACATAATTATATTAATATTATAATATCTAATAAGATATCTTCATTTCTGCTTCCCTGTAACACGAATCTCACCCTTCATACTATTCTCTGCTGCTCCTTAGGTCTCAAAAGCAGCCATAAATAATTAAATAATCATAATATACTAAAAATAACTTTATACGATAATTATACCACAGATTTTATTTGCTCTCATCACAGGATTGAAGGGGAAAATTATATGTTAGATTTTAATTATAATAGTAGATTTAACGTCCTTATAAGAATAACATTTTAGATGTCTAAAAACGACTTCGTATACCAACTTTATAAAAAAATATAAAACAAATTTTTATCTTTTAGCTTCGTTCAACTATTTTTACCTTCTTTAATGAAACAAAATCAAACTTTTCATAAATTTTAAACACATATTTAAAAAAAGAAAAAAATGTATCTGTTACCATAATTAATTGTTGCTGATTCAGTAGCTTTAACATATTGGCATTAATATGAACAGTAGGTCAGATGAGACAGCATTTACTGAATTGTTTCACACATAATCAGATACATACTATATATTTAAATAAATATTTTAAGTCCATTGCAGTATAAATAAAGTATTTTATCTGTTCCCACCCACATATAAACAAACCTGTTTTGTAGTAATTATATTAACTTATGAGGGAGGGAAGTTCGAAAAGGATGAATTCAAAATGCACAACAATTACTCTTACCTTCAATAGAATAAATACTGCAATCAGAAATCCAGATTTATTTTAATACTGCATTAGGATTTTGCAATCAAGGAAAAAATTTGTGCAATTTCATATATACAATAGAAACAGCAAATTTAATAAATACATAAAATATTTTTTGTAAATAACACAAACCTCATTTCTTGTCCATCAGGACCTCTTCTGCGAGATCTTCTTCGCTGACTACTACTAGTTCTAAAAAAGCCTTCAGGAAACCAGGTTATACCCCTTGCTCGTTTGCGGGTTGTAAACAAAACTCCAAACAATAATCCCATTATTATTAATATTATTACTCCAATCACGATGTACATTAGATCAGGATAATAATACATCTGAACTCCAGCAGGTTTCTCTTTATCCTCTCCACTGATTTCTTGAATTTGGAAAGCAAATGCTTGCCGTGAGTGAGCAGCAGCAAGGAATTGTGCAGCCTACAAAAATATCAAGTAAATACAAGATATCATTATCATCCTTATTTGTTAATGTATTTATTATATCTGTAAAAAATTACTATTCATAAATACAAAAGCTTACTTTTGTTGCCGACTGAAAACATTCAGTAGCAGCAGTTTTGACACACCTTCGGTTATCAATTTCCATATAAATTTTACTTCTGTAACAAAATTAATATATTGAAAATATTAGAAATGTAGACTGTTGCTCAGCATTTACATAAAAGTTTAAAATAAAAAAAAAATGTATGAAAGAAAGAAAGAAATTAATATTTACCCCTGCTTTTTATAATGATAACCAGGAGGAACATCTTTGGTATGCCAAGGATAAACCATTGGTTGACCATTTTCATCCTTTTTAATACGAACAATTGTTCTTAAAGCATGTCCAATCTCTCTTAGAAAAGGTACTGAGTTATTTAAAAACACCTGAAATTAAATTATGCATTTTTAACATGAGTTTAAATATTCAAATTAAATATCATGAAAAAAAAGTCTAATGTAAAAATTTTAAAAATTCATTTTTTGATATTGATATCCTAAATCAATACTAAAATTATAGATATCTTGCAAAGAGAAGTTCATAACTCATGACACGGTTAGGTCTGAGGGTACTTACATATTATCGCAACCAGGTTGGTGCGATTTGCAAGTTTGAGTAAAAAAGTATGAATAGAAAGAAAATGTACATTTATTAATTACAGATAATTTTTAATACAGTTTTTTATATTATTTTGTTTTAAAATATAAAATAGTAATTAAACCCTTCCAGTTTCGAATTTGAATAAGTTGCAGAATTATTTTTTTCGGCGGAAATCTTTTGGCTGTTGCTTTTAGCACTGATTGAAAACCGTATTTGCCATAATCATGTACACATCGATTTATTTTTACTTAAAAAAACATCCCAGAATTGCACAAAAATGGCATTGCGCACACACTTGACTTTATCCATCTACACTGCTATTTTCTCATAAATTACAAAAATTTGCAGGAAAATTTTGTGAATCTCCACATGCTCTTTTTACAAAACTATGTATAACACGTAGGGTTGCCGTAAGTAAGGTCGCCAAATTTGGCAATTTATGCGAATTTTGGCCTGGTTGCGTTAATACGTAAGTACCGGTCTCAGAGTGAAAACAAAAGGGGAAACTTCCAGTTAAGCATCAATGTAGATATTAATAACAAATCTTATAAACTGAAAATGAATATGGAAATCTGATTATTTACACACAAGAATCATTCATAAGTACTGAAAGTCAATCATATATATGTAATCATATATGCTACTCACTATATTGACTTTCCTATGTTTATAATTGTTTTTGGTTACACACACATATAGTATCTACTAATCTGAATGTAGCTCAGCTGGAGTTGTGGTTAGTGATTGTGAATACTGTACCAAGTACTAAGGGCTTGGATTCAAATCCCGGAGAAGGCATGTATGTTGTTTGTAAATGTATAGTGTCTGTGCGGCAAGGGGTACTCAAAATATGTGGCAAAAGGTATCCTAAATCAAATTTAGGACATTTTGAGATGGTGGTGGTAGGGGAAGAGGGGTGAAAGACCCTCGAACCTACCCACTTTCAAAATTGGGGGTGAAACCTAACAAAGTCTACTGTCACCTGTATGGTGCCAAGGCTCTTGCCTCCTTGCCACAATCTTATCTCTTTGCCATGATGAATTTCGTGGGCTTGTTCTGATATCAGGCAAGCGAGATTAGTTATAATAACAACACTGATCTGAATTGACAACCCTACCAGAAAACACATACGTTTGTGAGGCATATCTACAGTTACGGAGAGCTGAGAATTAAGCAATTAGTAAGATGAGAAAGTTTTGTTCAGAATGAATCAATTTCAGTCCAGATTAATCCCTATTGGTTTGTAAGGTATATTTTAATTTTAAAGCAGTTATTTTAAGTTTATACCACTTTCCTATCTCTTCTAGCTTCAGTTTACAATTCCTTACCAGAATGAGTTTTTAGAATCACATTAAATGCAAATGAGAAGTAGAAAGTATTAAGGACCAGTCCAGTAAAAATTATTAAATTCCACTTACTTCGAGAGACAGAGAGTTAGGATTCCTGAATGGTGCGTGTTTGTCTTTATCTACATCTCTTAACTGTTACTATGCTCGACTGTATTACGTGCCTTTCGATAGCTTTGCTGGCTAAGTTACTATTACGGGCTGACTAGTTTGCAATTGTGTTAGCTTTGGCTCTCTCAGTCATTAGTTAGTTCTTATTTTTTACATTTTGAGCTTAAGCCCAAGTGGAGGCTTTGCTGTACACCCCAAGAAAGGGGACCAACTGTAAAATCTTTATTTTGAGCTAATAAAGGGTAATTAACCCTTCTTGAACTGACGTTTTTGTTCTGTAAGCGATTATTCACTTAGTAGTTTACTAGATTCCTTGAAATTACTTTTAACAAGATAAAAGTGAGGAACCCAGGTCAATAATAAGTCTTGGTTTCCAAATTTGAAATCATTATTGGCTGAATCATTTGTAAATATCTGCATCATAAATATTAAGCAAGAATATCAAGTTAATGTGGTAATCAAAAATCTAAATCCTTATCCAATGTGGTAATTAAAAATTACACATAAAATGCAGGACACAGAAATTACACAGTGAAATATTTATAAAGAACATGAAATCTCATGATCATTAAACACACGTGATAATTTTTAATAAAATTCATTTTTTAGTTTTATTTGTACTATTTCTGCTGCCTTTAAAACAATATGTTAGCCTTTTTATTTTTAATATAATGACTATGTTTCATTCTCTAAAGAAGCTTATTTTATGTTGTTTCATTTTATTGATTGATTTTCTCCCTTTGTATTTAGTGGATTACTTCTGTCCATCAAACTAAATGAACAGCTGATAGGTAACTGAAAACTGAGAGTTAAAAAGAATCACAAATAATAAAGCTCCCATTGTACTAATAAAATATGCACAAAAATTAATTAACAACAATATGTGAACATATGATCAGCAAATTCTCATAATTAAAAGGCAGTTGCATATTTTAAGACAATAATTATAATAAAAAAAACATGATTTGTGACACTACTAAAAACATTCAGCAATGCAGGCTGAAATCAATTAATATTTACCTCTGGCTCCATCAATATAGTTGCTGTAAGTGCTCCATCAGCTAATTTTGGAGGCTCAGATTCACAATCCAAGCCATCCCAATTACATTCTTCATTATTGCAGCCGTAATCACAATAACCATTCCCATAATTTTTTAGGCAGTATGTATCATAATGTTCACTGCAGGAAAAAATAAATTTATTATGTATAAAATCTGAAGAGTTAACTATCTTTTAAATAATTATTTTGAAAAAAATTCCCCAGTTTTATATGGAATACTAAAATGTATTTTATATGTATAAAAACAAACAGCCTTTCCTTTTCTAAAGAAACACATATATCGTAAATATATGTATTTAAGTATTTTTATATGTATAAGTTTTAGAACAAATATAATAAGCAGTTTTATATGTATACATATTATATATGTAAAGAAGGGTATTCCTCATCCAAACAATACTATCTTTTCCTTTATTCTTCGCCACATTTTACTTACGTTATCTAGTCTCCTTTATATGAGTTCAGTGAAATTAAACTTTTTAGTATATGAAATTAAACTTTCAGTTTATTTCATATTGTGTTTCCCTTTCATATCTTAGATTAACAATTCCCATAGTATTCATACTAAGAACTTGCATCCAAAGTACTCTTGAAATGTAGTCATGTGTGGTCTAGGAATTAAACTATTTTGTATTGATACCTATGGGAAAATTAGTTTCAGTTTACAAATACTTAGATGATGAATGGCCTGCAGGAAAGAATTATATTCATGAACTTAGGTTTCACTGTATTACATAATGAAACATAATAATAATTACATTACATATTTTAATATGCACTTGATGGATTCAATGCAGTTGATTTAATACCCTTTTTAACTAAGCATCTTCTGTGCCTAGATTACATAATGTAGAATAAAAGTGATGTGAATAAAATAAAATATATTCTTTACATGCTCTATTATTTGTTTAAATCAGAAGCTGTTGGCATTTAAATAAAGAATTAAGTTATTTAGAAAAAGGCTGCTCATTTTTATTCCATGACAGCAAGCAAAATGTTTTTGTCTATGGTCAAATTAGTCTCCATATAAGCAAAGTTGAAAACCAACACTGCTTATATGGAAGGAGTATTTTAATCATACAATAAATAATTTTAAATCAATAGATTGATCAGTTTTGCTCTAGAAGGTCACAGTTTTCAGTTCATTATGCCTGCAACTAATATTTTTATGAATAACCATATTATTTGTAGATAAGAAAAATCTAATACTATATGCAACTCCATACTGTTTACAAACAAAACAGGTACATACATCAGTAATAACAGAATACATCAGTAATTTAGGAAAGCAAATTAATGAATCATTGTTCTACTCTTTAAATACTTTCATATTATTATTAAAGTTATTTATCATAAATTAAACAGAATAATGGAAATTAAACTTCCCCCTACATAACAAAATAAATAAATAAATAAATAAAATAAAATAAAATAAAATAAAATAAAATAAACAACTATATTGTAGACTAGAAGAGAAACACGCTAATGTGACAATCAAAATCGTAAAAAACAACCTTATATTTAGCGTAGGTATAATGAAACACTCAATCGATTTCGAGGGCAGCTAAAGGTCCCTCCTCATCAGGAGAAAGAAATACATAGAAAGAAGAAAATAGGAATCACAGAAACACGTGGTGCTTATCAGCACTGCACGTGGTTATAACTAGATTTTTAATCAGAGTTGCACTGGCCGCCTACTTTTACTGAGCCAGGCTGTCTGATCAAGCATAAAGAAATATTAGCGAAGTTAAAATAGGGAGCGAGGGGCAAATGCACATTACGCTCAAAATCTGAACTTCAAATAATGGAAAGCAACCACTGAAGGGATTTTTATACCCTCTGGTAGTACCAAGTGCGAGGAGGTAACGCCATCTATCGGCAAAAATAATTGAATTAAGACAGTAGAATTTTAAGGCATTAGGAAGGACTGGATTGGACTTCAAATCATTAACTAAACTTTCTAAATCTTTGTGAATGTGAAAAGCCTCAAGAAAATCCAATTCGCCTATGGAAGAAGCCTTTTGGATGATTTTTGCAGACCCAAAATCAAAATTATGGTTAAAAGTCCAGCTATGATACGCTATTGAAGACTTGTTAATTTCCCCTTTTAAGATATATTGGCCAAACAAAAAGAGCGTTGAAGTTTCGTATCAAGGAACATGAATCTTATGTCAAAAAAGGGGAAATTAACAAGTCTTCAATAGCGTATCATAGCTGGACTTTTAACCATAATTTTGATTTTGGGTCTGCAAAAATCATCCAAAAGGCTTCTTCCATAGGCGAATTGGATTTTCTTGAGGCTTTTCACATTCACAAAGATTTAGAAAGTTTAGTTAATGATTTGAAGTCCAATCCAGTCCTTCCTAATGCCTTTAAAATTCTACTGTCTTAATTCAATTATTTTTGCCGATAGATGGCGTTACCTCCTCGCACTTGGTACTACCAGAGGGTATAAAAATCCCTTCAGTGGTTGCTTTCCATTATTTGAAGTTCAGATTTTGAGCGTAATGTGCATTTGCCCCTCGCTCCCTATTTTAACTTCGCTAATATTTCTTTATGCTTGATCAGACAGCCTGGCTCAGTAAAAGTAGGCGGCCAGTGCAACTCTGATTAAAAATCTAGTTATAACCACGTGCAGTGCTGATAAGCACCACGTGTTTCTGTGATTCCTATTTTCTTCTTTCTATGTATTTCTTTCTCCTGATGAGGAGGGACCTTTAGCTGCCCTCAAAATCGATTGAGTGTTTCATTATACCTACGCTAAATATAAGGTTGTTTTTTACGATTTTGAACTATATTGTAATTCTTTTTTTTTTAAATATTTTTAAGACATTACCTTAATTATAAATTGTATCCAAAATTATTTTATATAAAAATAATGCAACTGTATGAAGTAATGGTCAGTTTATCTTTTCATGAAATAGGTGAAAGCTTAATCTAATTATCTTTAAACAATTTAATATGATTAATCTATTCCTGAATGCAAATAATGGCATGACAGGTAAGCTCTTTGTGCAAAGAGTATGGCAGAGGCTAGCAATGGATATGGGGTTGTGCTCTCAACTGAAATTTTAAACAGATCACTTCTAATAAAATAAAATTTTTATTTTTATGTAAATGAAAAATATTTTTCTTTTTGCAATGCATGGATTTGATTTCATTAAAATATCTAAGTTTTAAACCAATAGAAAAAGTGAAAAAATATGAAAACAGTATGTGAATATCATCAAAACATAAAACTAGAGTACTAAAATTTCCCCCTTCAAACCACATTTGGTTCCATGTGTTGTCAAGAACAGTTTAACATATTTGCTTCAAACTAATCTGACAACCCTGATTTCAAGCAAAGCAGATGTTTGCTTACTTTTTAGTGGAATGTGGTATGCAGTATTTCTCATGTGACCTACTAATTCATTTCAGTTTATTAATTGCACTCAATTCATTTAAGACAAATTCACAGGTTTTCAAATTTGTTCATTCATACGTGTTTTCAAATTCATACATTTCAATTTCATCAAAGGACAATGATTGATAAAAGAGCAAAGTTCTTTTGCCTTTTATATATGTTCCAAGTGAGGAAGAACTCAAGAATGAAGTTTTAAGGAAGCATAGCGAAAGAAAGACAGACAAGCAGAAATTTCTCTCTTCCCAAAATCAGTTTGCTTTGTCAGCATCAATTTCTTTGAAAATGAAATATTTAGTTAAATGCATCATTCCTTTTGTAGAGCCTATTGCCATTGGGTTATATGTTACTGATAATTTAAGAGAAATGAACACAGAAAAAAGAACTGGAACTTTTACGAAACATATGGTTGACAAGTACATATGAAACATTTCCACCTCGAGGAAAATGCAGCACCTTGGACCAGAAACCCTCTATACCAGTAACTGCCAAACAGTCAATCGCGAGCTACTAGCAGCTTGCGGTGACGTTTTCAGTAGATCGCGTTAACGCTCCAGTTGGCTAACCTTGATTCTTCTACTGAGCTGATGCTGACAACAATTGCTTGTTTCTCATGCACAACTGCAATTGTTAGCCTCATCCCACAGTTGATTGTATACACATGAGGTTGTGCACATTATGTTTTTTGTGTGTATATTACACATTTGCTAACTTGCACAGTGAAAACATATTGGTACCAAGCTAGGTCTGTTGTTCCAACGATGGTATGCTCAAAAGCAAAAAAAAAAAAAAAAAAAAAAAACTTGTCACTTTTATTTGGAATGGGAAACCGATTACTTCTTTACCCAGGTAAAGGAAAAATATGTATGTTTACTGTGCTATGCAAATGCATCAGTTCGGAAGAAAGTAGTAAATTCAACAAACACTTCCAAGATTCAATTGTTAAGGGATAAATATAGATTAATGCTGAAGAGTTCTCAACTTGTGTTATGGAGCACTTTGATTTTTAAGAAGATAATGCTGCAGTGGATTTGGAACTGATGGATTTTCTAGATGATATATCTGTAAAATTGCTTTCTTCAAGCTCTGAAAATATTTGGCCTCTTGTTTCAAAATACCCAATTTTGGTCCAGGTTTGTCTCAAAGTGAAGGCAATATTCAGCTCTACATATCTGTGTGAGATTTCTTTTTCCAGTATGGAATTTATTAAAAATAAGTATGGAAACAGACTCACTGATGAACACTTGGACAACTGCATTCAAATGGTAGCCACTATCTACTCTCCCAACACTAAAAAAAACTTGCTGACAAAAAAAAAAAAAAAAAAGGGGGGGGTTGTCTTTCTCATTAAAGTTAATAAGTCTGATAAAAAAAAATCTGTCATGACATTTGTTATTTATTAGTAACTACATTTCAGTTTCTTATGTACAATTCAAATTTAGTGTCTTTTTGTTATATACAGTTTAATCAAAACTGATTTCATATTTACTAGAAATGCAAGTTTATTGGCAATAAACAAACATAAGATTAAAAAAAAAAAAAAAAAATGGTAGCTCTTTTGGTTGGTAGCTTGCAGCAAGATTTGGAAATGGTACAGTAGCTCAGAAGATTCATAACTTTGGCAACCACAGCTCTCAGACCATAAAGAAGCTATAAGTATTGCTTATCATAATGAATATTTAAAAAAAAAAAACACTCTTAGACAGCTTTTCAAATCTGACCTTCATTTCTTAAACATGAAAAGTCAAACAAATTTCAACAAAATAATTCCAAGAATCAAGTTATTTCAACTTTTTTTTAACATGTTTACATCCATTTTTCAAGAACAAGTATTCAGTGCATATAAAAATGCACAAAATACTCCATTTATGTAAAGAGAGCATTTATGTAAAAAGAGCATCAACACAAAGTATGAGTAAGATATCCAAAGTATATTTTTAAAATTGACATAAGTTACAAAGACCATGAGACAGACATGAGTTAAGGTGGTTTTCAGTTTTCATATTCACAATGCTTCATGAAATAAATATATACGTACTTATAAAAGAAAGAATACTTTTACTATACTCTCAACAAATTTATATTTCTTTATATTTTTAATTTCTATTTAGTATTTATATTTCTTTATATTTTAAACTTTATATTTATATATTATATTATTCTGTTATAGTAAATACTAAACTTTGTTTCCTGCAAACCTTTTACGTTTTTTTTTTTTTTTTTTTTTTTTTGTTTTTTTTTTTTTTTTTTTTTTTTTTTTTTTTGTTTTTTTTTTTTTTTTTTGTTTTTTTTTTTTTTGTTTCCTTGCAAACCTTTTACGGAATACTTAGAAGCGCTATAACTTTCAATGAATTTCTAACAGAGAAATTAATATATATTCCTATTTATTTTAAACCTCTAATAAAAGCATTATCATTAATAAACATACCATAACCTAAATCTGTACATAGAGAAACGATTAATTGTTTACTCTTAATTACTTACAAAGAGAAAAAAATTACAAAGGGAAAAAGTTAAAAATTTAAACTGATATTTAGATTCAGATATATAGAGTAAAGACTCTTGACCTCCTTATTTCACAATTGTAATAAAAAATTCAAGTATAATTTGCTTCATTTTGAATTTTTTTAATGCAATAAAAATAAAGTATTACAAAATAGAACTCACTTGCAAGGTAACAGCTTTTGTTCACAGTCAAAACCATCAAACAAACAATCAATGTTATTGCACTCTATATTACATTCTTTATTGTCAAATACATCCCAACAATTAATAGCAGCTGAACAATTCAACCAAGGATTTATACCTGTTTTGAAAGAAATATGAAAACTTTCACTTTTGGTAATGAATATAAACACTGACTATTTAAATGTACAGTAGAAAGCTTTTAATAAATGCACAGATAGAAACAAACTGTACCTAATGTGCAGTCACCACCATCGAAATTGCAGGCCAAATTATTACATTCTTCATTGCATTTTCTGTTTCCTGACTTTTTATCACATTCATGAAGTTGACATAAATCTATTTTTTCTTCTCCATCCACTCGCAGTATTGGTCCAGGCTGAAGGAAAACTCCAAGTCCACCAGCAAAAGAGCTATCAAATATATTACATCGGGCTCCATTCCAGTATTCAGGGCATACACATTCATATTTACCTAAATAATAAAATTTACAAAAAATTCATATTTAAAACAATAAAAACATGAATTACAACATTCATTAACTAGGTACCCCCCTAAAAAAACTGATTTTAAAATACTGCGTTAAAATTTTCAGAATAATTAAGTATGAAAGTCCCTATTAGAGATTGATGGGTTAAACCTATTTCACAAGTGGGGGGGGGGAGGAGGAGGAACTTACATTTTAAATTAATGACTGAAATAAATGTTTGAATCCATTTTATAGCAAGTGATCTTCCTTTTTTCATTTTAAGGCATTTCTGAGCATGCATCTGTATTTTAAGGATGCAAAATCCCATCTCAATTTTATTTTTAAGATATGAATGTTTTATGCATCAATGATTTATAAAATGTCAAGGAAAGCTGTCCCAGCTTCCTGAATTTAATATGACTATCCCCTTTAAAGTTTTCCTAACATATTGGTGGCAAATTAAATACATCTTAAGGAATGCAGATTAATTTATTCATCAGTAATTCTATATCTCTTGTTTTATTCTTATAATTTAATAATAGTATTTATACCTCAAGTCTACCAGCAAAAAAAGCTAAATGCATGCAAATCGTCTCTCTCTATAAATATTTTACTTTTTCATAACTTTGAATCCTCCCTCCCGCCCAGCATTTTTTTATGCTGAATTCTCTTTCCAATTAAAAACAAATAACTAAAGTTTATGAAATCTGAGTTTTTAATTCAGTCAATTGATTTAGTGTCACCTTGTAAAATGTGCCATACATAAATAAATGTAATGCAGCTAACCAACTTCTAATTTTTGTATAAATTTTACTTTTTTTTTAATTAAAATATATTTCATACCTTATGCAATTCACATATAAAATGAAACATGTTTCTGTAACTTACCTATTCTGTCATAACAAGTACCACCATTTAAACAGGGTGATGATAAGCAATCATTATGAGAATCAATTTCACAGTTTTTTCCTTCTGCACCAGTTGGGCACACACACACATAACCTGACTTCCTTTGTCGACACTGACCACCATTTACGCACGGATTTCCTGTGCATGATGTATTTGCATAGCCACAGTTCTCACCATAGAATCCCTAAAAAATAAAACAATTAATTTTACCTCTTTAAATATAGAATAAGTTTTGTTTCATACTAGTGATTTATCCCACAGTTTAAAATTTTAATTACAAAAATAAATAAAATAAATGCAACAGAAAAACACATAAAATTGAGAACAATTTCCTCATTGGTTATAAATTACTGTTATTAGCAGGACTGGATTAACCATTAAGCAATATAAGTACATGTTTAGGTCATCATGAAAAGGGGGCATCACGAAAAGGTCCTTAGGCATTCAGGAAAGGCAATGCCAAAAAATTTCCAACTGCTAGTTTTAGCATGTACTGCATGCTGCAGCTAAATCAAAACTGAGAAATAGTGAAGGAATGAAGAAAAAGCTGGTGCAAACATATACACAGACAGCAAAATCTTTTAAGTGTTTTGAGTGACCTCTAAAGGAAAGCACTTGTTATTAGTAAAATAAACCATATGGTTAAATTTATAAAATTATGTACAATTTTATTTTGATCATGCATTCTAATTTTTTAATATGCAATATGTGCAATTTTATTTTGATCATGCATTTTAATTATTTAATATTCAAGTATTTACTATCTTACATGAACTATTTATCAGGTTATAAAAAAGGTCAAATGAATTTTTAATTCACATGTTCCAGAGGCTTCCACAATTTCCACTAAGCATAACTTAACATATATATTACTTTTTATTTGTAGGATAACATATATATTACTATTTATTTGTAGGATTTGTAACTTAATTCTTGTATTTTCTCTACACATGTAAAAACAATGTAATAAATGTCAAACATCAGTTATAAATTTATCTTACTGATACTGGTGGTGTGTAACTTTAGCTTGCAAACTTGTTTGAATCTTAGTTACTATAAAGTAGTTCTTTTGCCTTTTGTTTTATTAAAGTGCTTAAATATAGATTTTTCATGTTTTTGTAATTATAAAAGGCGCTATACAATTTTCTGTAATGAAAAAAAAAAAGAGTACTGCACCACTATTTCTTCTGTACTTTCGTCTATATAACAATTCTGTTTATTTTAATAAGCTTACAAATTCTATTAGCAATAAGTCAACAAAAATTTAAAAGCAAGGGGATAAATTTTAATTTTCTAAAAATTAGACAAATACCAATCCTTAGTTATTCAAAAACTATTCAGATTTTGTTGTTTTAATTGCTAAGTATAATTTTGTTGCTAGTAAAATAAAAAAGTATCAGAGATGTAAAACGCATACCTTTTTTTGTATTAACTCTGTATGCTAATTAATAATTATATTTTAGGAATATTGATGACAGTGAAAAATTTGACTAGTAAGAAACCAAAACTAATTCACCAACAATCAAATTTAACTACTCTGACTTTTGAAGCTACCAATTAACAATACAGTGAAAGCAGTTTGCATTTTGGAATTAAAAAGAACTGGCTACTGAAGGGCACTGGTATCGGATACTTTCACATTTAAAACACGCACTAAAAAATACAACTGAAATCATTTTTACCTCAGTACAAATGCACAGATGACCTTGTGCAACACTTGAACAGACACCCCCATTTAAACAGGGGTTTGATGAACAAAAATTCACTTTGGATTCACAATGACGACCCATGAAACCTACTTTACAGTCACAGCGATAATCATTAACCAACTGAACACAGTCTTGAGTACCCAAGCTATGACAAGGATTTGATAAGCATTCGTTGACGTCACCTTCACACCTAAAATAGTGCAGCTTAAATAAATACATACTCAATATTCACTAAGTAGTACGTGATAATATTTAAATGCATGATGTATTTTAAAACAAAACTATACAAACCTTGGCCCCACAAATCCAGGTGGGCATTGACATTCATAATTTCCAACTTTGTCAATGCATGTTCCACCATGATGGCAGGCTCCTTCAAAGCATTCATCAAGATTGATTTCACAAAGAATTCCTTGTGTTCCATGAGGACAAGAACATACAAAACTATTCACTAGATCATGACAAGTTCCACCATTTCGGCAAGGATTTGGATTACAGTCGTCAATATTATGCTCACAGTTCACCCCTAAAAAGTACATAATTTTTAGGTATTTAACATAAACTTTTTTTTTTCCCAAACCACATCTAATTCAACGTATAACAGAAAAGTAAAAACAGCAACTAAATTACCATCGAATTCTTTTGCACTCATAACAACACTTTTTTTTCATAATAAATAAATACATGGAAATTCTTTCAATACAAATGGCACATTTTTTCAGAATAAACAATAAGAAAGCAAAATGAAGTGAAATATAGTTTGAAACAATTTAATTTAGTTGATTATTATGACAAAGAACTCAAAAGGCAAACATTCAAAGAAAAGAAAGGGAAGATGGATGATATTACATTTACATAGGGTAAAAAAATACAAAAATATTAATTTACATTGCCATTAGAAATCAAAATTTGAAATGATATACAGTCAAAAGTCGTTAATTCGGACGCCCATAATCCGGAATGATCTATAATCCGGACCTCAAAGCTAAAAACTTTCTGCGCATGCGCCGCATTGACGCATGCGCATAGGCGTTTAAGCGTGTGCGTAAGACCTTTACGACTGCGCATTTGCATGTGCACAAGCGCAGAATACGCTTTCGCTGCACGTTTAATGTATAACAGACGAGCTAAAATTATGTAATTGTCTATTTCAGTTAATGCTGATGATTGCGTTGTTCCTTAATCTTCGAAATGGATCCGGCTTATTATTTTTTGCAGACTGTAAGAGCAATTTTATAAAAGTAAGCTTGAACTTTCGATTATGTCAAATAGAATTTCTGATGCTGGAGCTCCCAAAGGATCTACGAAAACGAAAGTATGTTTCGATGTCCATCAAACAAAAAGGGGAATTGCTCCAAAAAATGGATAAAGGCATATCCTTTGTTTATCTAACCGTTCCGAAATCTGTTTATCAATTTCACACTGCTCTGCGGGGGGGGGGGGGGGACGTGGCGGCACGCAATGAACTGGAAGTTGATTTGTCAACACTATCCTTATCTTCAGGGCAGATGTTTTTATTTTATTTGGCTTATAATTCCTTATTAAATGTAGTATTTCATCTCGATGTACTTAGTCTTTGATATGATTTAAATCAAATTCCTCGTCATTATAAATATCACGAATACAAATCAAATAGTTTTCTGGTTGCAATTTTCTAATTTCGGCTATGCACAATGTATGCTTTATGCATGCGCGCGTTGATAGAAATGTTTAATAAAGTAAACAAATAAATATTAAGCTTTTTTTTTTGTAAATTTTGATACCCTTTATATCATAATTGCTCATTATTTTATAAATTACGGTTTCATATTTTTAATTTTATTATTTCTGCATGCCATCTTACCAGATTTAAATCGATAATCCGGAATCACCGAAGTCCCGACGAGTCCGGATTAAAGACTTTTGACTGTACTAATGCTCTGCAGTTTTAATTGTTTGCCTGTTACCAAGCACTAAAACAATTTAGAAATACTACAAGTATAATTTAGAAATATTCTTATAGCACAGCATATGACTGATAACAAAGGGTATTTTTATGCATAATATTTATGCTAATTATTTTCTCTGGAGATATTCAAAGAATGTCTGCATTTAAAGGGAAAAATAAACATATAACCACTACATACATGAAGCCACTCAACACTCACAAATTTAAGAAAGTAAAAATTCCTGAATCTAGCACACAAGAGCTCTTTTGCAATAATGGTAGAGGATTTGACTCTAATGTCATGGCCACAAGTTCTAACCCCAAAGCCAAGTGGCATTTAGCACTGAACGTCTAATGAATTTCTAATTAAACCAATAGATGTCGCCATAAGCATGCTTCTGCTAAAGCACCAAAAAGCATCTAACAACTGAAAGCAAAATCACCAACAGCCACCACATAACATTTATCCTTTACAGCTAATAGTTGAGCAATAGATAAAAAAGTCATTCAGGAGCTCTGCAATAAATTTTTTATGATGTTTGAACTTAGTTTAATACACATCTTTAATTGATATTCCCATTAATTTGATAATACTACTAATGATACCGATGATGAAGATATTTCTGGTTCCTTTTTCTTAAAGGTTTAGTTATTCCTTATAGATAAGAAAAAGTTTTGATATGCATCTTTTAATTGATATTCACATTATTTAATTTCATAATACTAATAATGACGAAGATATTTCTAGTTCCTTTTCTTAAAAGTTTAGTTGTTTCTTATAGATAACTGAGAAATCTAAGAAATAAATGTTAAGCTTTGGATTTTATAAACTCATATGGACTACAAATAAGTAAAATCAGAAGTTCATAAAAAATGGTAACAGTTTTAACCATAAAATTTTCAGAGCCGTAGAAATTCTTAAAACATGTAGATCATAAACTGCAGGTTTGCAAAAACGCAAGTCCACTGTATATGCCAAATGTACAAACATTTCTATAATACATGAAACACAAACAGAGAAAAATATATTTAATATATTTATACAATACTGTATCAAATTCAAATGAATAAAACATTTAAATTGATTAGGTTAAATAAAAATTTACCTTGGAAACCTGGAAGGCAAGAACATGAATAGTGTCCAACAAGATCATTGCAAGCTGCACCATTTTGACATGGCTGGGATGTACATTCATTGATTTCATGCTGACAGTAACTGCCCTCATAGCCAGGAAGACAAATGCATCGATGACTATTACCATGATTTTCACATTTCCCACCATTCTTACATAAATCACCAAGAGGAATACCTTATATAAAAGAAGTAAAAGCTTCACTATAACAATATACAAATAAAACATCTTAAATACGAATTCAGTTTCATAATATGATCTTATAATGCTAAGACAATGTTATATAATAAAAAATGAATCTTTCATTTTGAGATAAGTTATTCTAGTTTACTTACTAAACATGAGCAAATATGGAAGATACTTCCAAATATATAATTGCATCTTAAGAAAAACTACTGAACATATATCTTATTAAAGTTCAACAAAGCAGCCTCAGCCTTCAATTATGCTAACACACTATTACTGCAAGTAACAATACACCACTGTATTTTCGGCATTATTCAAAGTTTGGAATGGTATAAAAAAATTTTTTTAATGATGATCAATAAGTTTTGAATTTTGTATGTACATAATGGAAGCTTTTATACATATATAACTAAAATACTACTGTTGTGAAAGTTGAAGAATCAAGCACCAAGGTTTTAGAGTATGATATTAGGTTAATTCAGGTGTCATCAGATATGTCAGAACATATTACCTTCCTTAGAAATGCTTTGTGAAATATGTTCCTGTCTATTTCTAACACATACAGTTGTTCTTAAAAATATTTGATTCTTTCTTGTTAAACCAATGATTTTGATTTTCAGTGGAATTGGTCATCTTAGAGAAGTGATGTTCAATACCAATATTTATTCATACTATCAGAAATACTGATTACTTTCAATAGTAGCTTAAACCATGAAAGGATTTAATGTATACACTCATGGACAAAAAAATTAGTGCACCAAGAAGGAGTCGTCACGACTCCAAACGGAGGCGTCGATGGGTAGGCATCGAGGGCAGCACACGTAATGGGCGACGCAACACCAATTGTCCTTCAGCCAGGCACCTTTGTATGGTTCGAGAAAACACAGGGGCCCCTAGTGAAGGTGCTACCTGTGCCTGGATGGCGGCCGATGAAGCAGTTGGCTGTACGCATGCATTTCTTACGATGTGGTGATCTTCTCGACGAATGGTCTGTCGAGGGCCTCCTGACCCTGGTCTTCATGTACATGACATCTCTCGGGTCCACTGGTCCCGACACCTCCTCACAACACAATCAGAGCGGCCTAATTGACGAGCTACTCGCCTAGCTGACCACCCAGCTTCCATCATCCCGACGATTCTCCCCCTCTCAAACTGCGACAACTGCTCATATTGTCTTCGAACACAGCGTAATGGCATGTCTACCTCAGCTCTTCCTTTGTAAATGATTCAGCACACTCAAACAAGCTTTGGTTACCTGTTTTATACTCCACAGAGTATGACATTCAATGCCCTCTACCGGCTGTATGTAATGCACAATCACGCTGCATTTCTAATCATTTGCATATCTCCCCGACATGTACCTTCATTGCAAGTTTAGTTATGATCCCGCAATTATTTCTTGGTGCGCTAATTTTTTTGTCCATGAGTGTATTATATGTTTGACCATGTACTAGCTTGTGTAAAAGATGAGTAGGACATAGAACTGTAAAATGTTATAAAGAAGTGAGAAATATGTTTAGCAATTTGAAATTTAAACTTTACGCCAGCAACAAAATTTACAATATCAAAATCTTAAAAAAAAGGACATCAAATTAGATATGAACTACTAAGAATAAGCATTTCATTATAATTCAACATAAACAAGGTTAAAAGCATTAAGAACATTAAGTGATCTCTTTCTATTAGCATCAAAGTAAAAGTCATATGCCATTAACTGAATATTAAAATTAGGTACTCTTCCGTTTCACTAGTGCAAATCTTGCCAAGCAGACTTTAATGGCAACAACACAGAGTATACACATAAAAAGTGTTAATAAATGTTAGTTCTAAGAAATTTGAAGGCATAAAAATTTTAATGTCGTTAAAAATTTTGTAAAAAGACAATAAATTTGCAAAAAGACATTAATTTAAGAATTTACTATGCTTTCATCGTACAACATCCTGATTCACCATTTCGTATCATGTGACCCCAAGTGACCTGATCTCACGTAAACTACGCTATAAAAATCTAATTCTCTCAGAAATTATCTACATTAATTTCAAGTTAAATCTCAATTGAATTATTTCAATTTGTACAAATAGCTTACTCAGAAATTACGTAAAACCTCAGTGTTTTACTTCACTAGTGCATTTACATTAGAACTGATGAATTTAATACTTTGCCTTTTCTGTATTTTCACCTTCGAGTGAGCGGTATTATTGTATCCTAATTGACTTAATTACCACGAATGGCCTTAGGGCATAAAATTGAACTATTTGGTAAAAATTCTATGTAATTGGTATGCCAGTATTGAAAGAAGCAATCAATCTGATAAAGAAATGGCTGCGACTTGTTTTGAAAATGAGGCGTAAAAGATTACCAGCGAAGATATTCTGTTTGGCATCGGTTGCACCATTTTTGGTGACTTTAATCACTTGCGCTGGCAAAATGGAAAAGTACCCATTTAAACGTTATCACTTTAATAAAGGATTAGGATTCAATACAAAACAGCTAAATATATTTTGATCTTTGGTATAACTGAACATAGCTCAACTAATTATATTCCAATCCGGTCAAATTTAATAAAATATTCAATCTAGAATTATACATATATTCAAGCAAATATAATAACCCTTTTAATATTAAAATTTTTACCTTTTTGTAAAGCAGCATCATTACAAGAAACCATACTGACATCACAGAGCTTTCCAGTCCAACCATGCTTACAAGTGCAGCCATATGTATTATTGATCTGTTTGCATGTAGCTCCATTCATACACACGCCTGTGCTGCACCAATCAATAAAATTCTGAAAAAGGTTTTATAAGTTGAGTAAAAGAAACTGGCTTCAAAAACTGTATCACATAAGTAAATTTCTTTGTGGTATGTTAAAAGATTTTTTTTAATTGCCTCTACAAAAAATAAGTTCTATATTCTTATTGTCTGATCAGATAACGATAGTATGGAATTTCAAAAATCCTTTTTGGGACTGGAAAAATGGAAAGGAGTGATATGTCCCTGGAATTCATAGGCATGAAAAAATAATCAGTTTTTTCCCCTGCTTTTAAATAGACCTTGAAATTTATTTGGGGATATAAGATAAGAAATACATACTATATATTAATATACACATACTATATATTATGCTCAGTTTACACGTTTGGAAACTTTCTCATATATAAAAGTTGGCTTTCCTATTTATCAATGGAATATAACTATATGTTAACATTATTCCAACTAAATTTTTTATTTTGATTTCTCATAATAAAAATCTTATATCTAAATTTGTTGTACAGTACAAAGTCCGTAATCCGGACTCGTCGGGACTTCGGCTATTCCGGATTATAGATCATCAATTTAAATCTGGTAAGATGGCATGCAGAAATTATACAATTAAAAATATGAAACCGTAATTTATGAAATAAAGAGCAATTGTGAGCTAAAGGTATCAAAATTTAAAAAAAAAAAAAAAAAAAAAAAAAAACTTAATATTTATTTGTTTACTTTATTAAACATTTCTTTCAATGTAAGTTGTTTAAGTTGCTTTGTTTTTTATGCTAAACGCACATGCGTAAACATTAAACGTGCATGCATAAACGCATTACGCACATGCGTAAAGCATACAAAAAAAAGGTTGTGGCGTTGAGGTCCGGATTATAGATCATTCCGGATAATGGACATCTGAATTATAGACTTTGTACTGTAGTAGGAATTGAGAGCAGTTAGTCCTTATTTATATCAACTGAAAAGTTACCTAATTTTTATTAATGGAAAAGATCACAGCATTTGCATAGTTGAAAAATTATATTTATGTATAAATTTTTGGCTTCAAAATAATTTTTTATTTGAAAAAGTTAAACAGAATTTTCTACCAAGAAGGGAAAGAGGTAATTTTAAACACATGCATAAATTTAGTTAAACATGATACTATACATGGACAATATGAGATACCAACTATTACATTTTATTGAATATTCTTTACCTCACACTGTAAGCCAGTATATCCAAAGGGACAAATACATGTGAACGCTCCAACATGATCAACACAAGTAGCACCATGGTGACAAGGATGTGAATCACATTCATTTATATGATATTGACAATTACTTCCAGTATATCCAGGGGCACAGCGGCATGTATAGTTATTAATTCCATCAATACAAGTACCACCATTCACACAAGAACTGCATTGAAAAAAGAAAATGAAATTAAAAAGACATTCATATGTAAAATTTTCTACAGAATTTTCTTTTTATATACCAAATACTGTACTTTATGTTCATTTATGTTTATGTACGAGGTTATTAAAATTAATTTGTGTGAAGAAAAACAATCAACAAAACTTAAAAAATACATTTAACAAAGCACAAATGTGCTATTTTCAATAAATAATACACATCCCATTTTATACCAATTTACTGACATACAAAATAAATGGTATTTTTTATCCACTAAACACAATAACATTACAGTGGCATCTTATTAATGATAATATCTTATACAAAGTAAACAAATGAAAAATCATATACTTTAATTAAACTTACCCAAATCTAAATCCTCCAAATTCCAAATTTAAAATAATCAAATATAGTTGTAATATTTCATTACTTTCAGGACAGCCATATTTAGAAAAGACATCTACACATCATGTCTTAATTTTGTTCCAAGTCACATTTAATTCTACTTTTTAAAATATGTATGAATTTTTAAAAGTTCTTAACAAGTGCATTATACCTATACAAAATCAAAACCAAGACAGAGAAGGCATGGAGAAAAAATTGCTGTAAATATAGGGGGGGGGGCACCAAAACTTATAAGTACTTAAGGCCTCTAAAATCTTAATCTGGCCCTGACATCAGGTACCTATTTTAGCATCAGATAGCATTATCCATCAATACAAAAGCAGTATAATGATTAAAAATTCTCATTTAACTTTGTATCTATTCTTATTAATATTCAAGGCAGCATTACATTACAGCTTGCCAAAAACGAAAGGATTAAATAACATAAAAGAATACAGCAATTTTTTTCTCAAACCATATTCTAAAATTTATTTCTCTATCTCTCTTCTTTCTCTCTCTATATATACTTTATGTATATACATAAACATGTGTACCTCAAAAACTAATTTTTTATCAATATTATATAAGAGTATATGATTCAAAATATATTCATTTCAATATATTCTGTAATATTTCTAAGCACTTAAAATAAATAAATAAATGTAATAAAAAGTATCAAACAAAATGTATACTTCACCTTAAATTACAATCTTCATCATTGGTTTGACAATTTGTCCCACTAAAGCCAGATGGACAAGTGCATGTGTAACTGTTTACATAATCATTGCATGTAGCCCCATTTTGGCAAGGATTACTTGCACATTCATTGATATCACTTTCGCAGTGTTGGCCCCCAAATCCATCCACACAGAGACAGGTATACTCTCCAACACCGTCTAAACACGTTCCACCATTCTGACAGGGAACTAAAAAGAATAAATGCAACTCATTATTTAAATAACTATTAATCACAATTGGCAACCATGTGCATAATCATGTTCAAAACATTCTTTCAGTAAAATAAACCTCGTTGACTTTCTTCATTTTGTTGTATCCAAGTTCCAATGGTTTTTTATTAAAAAAACTTGATATCTTTTGCTGTAATGCAATTTTTAAATATGTGCTTGTAGAATTTGCCAGCAGTGGTAAAATTTCTGCAGAAATGCAGTATTTTACCACAAAATCTCTACAAGGAACACGGACGAAAAGCATTTGGTAGCTAATCGATATTGGTATGACGGGTTTATGCAATTCTTTGACATTTTTTTCAGTGAAAACAAATCTCGGTACTTTTCCGTTTTGCCGGCGCAAACGATAAAGTCGCCAATAATGGTTTAACTGATGCCAGACGGAATATCTTCGCTGGTAACTTTTTACGCCTCAGTTTCAAAACATGCTGAAGCCATTTCTTATCAGATTGTTTCTTTCAATACTGGCATACAATATATAGAATTTTTACACGATATTTAAATTTTATCCCTAAGAACAATTCACGGTAATTAAGTCAATTAGAACAATTACACCGCTCATCCGAAGGTGAAATCAAGTGTTTAAATTCATCAATTCTAATGAGAATGCACTAGCGAAGTAAAGCACTGCGGTTTTACATAATTTCTGAGTGATAGCTATTCGTACGAATTGAAATAATTCTTGCATTTAAACTTGTATTCCAAATTAAGAGTTAACTTGAAATTAATGTAGATAATTAGTGAGAGAATTAGATTTTAGTAGCGTAGTTTACGTGAGATGAGATCACTTGGGGTCACGTAATACGAACCGGCGAATCAGGATTTTGAACCATGAAATCATAGTAAATTCTTAAATTAATGTCTTTTTACAAATTTATTGTCTTTATTTATTGGCTTTTTACAAAATTTTAAACCATATTAAAATGTTTATGCCTTCAAAATAAAATAAAAAAAAAATTCCTTAGAATAACTATTTTTTATGTGTATACTGTATGTTGTCGCCAAGAAAGTCTGCTTGGCGAGATTTGCGCCGGCGAAACGGAAAAGTACCCAAATCTCTTGTGTATGTGGGAGAAGAACAACAGCTCAAACAAATTTTAGAAGGATTTTTCAGAAAATGTAAGAGTTTTATCTTTTGTAACTTTACATACAATTTTTAACATACAATTTTTAATTTGTTAAAGAGTGTTTTCTTTTGTTATGTTGATAATATTTGCTGACTTACAATAAATTTTGATAGTTTGGAAACTAGAAGTCCCCAAAATCACCATCTTGCATTTGTAACTTTAGCCCATAAATACTTTGACAAGCGAAGTTTAAATGTATATTAAAGCAATAAGGTGATAGAGTAAAAGTTACTTTTAAATGCAGAAAAATCAAATACTTATCTTTTTTTTTTTTTTTTTTTTTTTTTATGTGAAGAAAGGGAGGGGGAAAAAAAAAAACACTGAAATCTACAAGGCAAATAAAGGGTGAAAGAGTTCAAATTTATGACATCAAATGAAATTTTAAATTATATTTACATAAGTGAAACTTACAAGATGCACAATCATCAGTATTGATCAGGCAATCTCTTCCTTCATAACCTTTTGCACAATAACAGCTGTATGATCCATTTGTATTGACACATGTTGCTCCATTTCGACAAGGAGAGGATATGACACATTCATCAATGTCTTCATCACATAAACGTCCTAAAAATAAAATTTTTAAACTTATTTAAATAAACTGCAGAATATGAAGCATGGAACAAAAATGCTGGGCTCTGATTTATGTTTCAAAGAAGTTATTTTTAATGCTTTACAAATCAGAAAAATCCAATGGTCTGGTTATTTCTTAGATTACACATTAATGCAGTGTTTTATAATAAGTGGTGGAGAGTCACAGAGATGATTATTAAGTCCGAAAATGATCACATTAATTACACACTTTTTTTTACATTTACAGAACTATTTATTAGTTACAATTACTCATTAATTTTTTTTACAGTTACAATGTGAATACATAGTTGTTAATAAAGATTATTTTCATTATGGCATTATACATGTTAACCTAATTTCCCCTGACAACATTTGCAGACTTCTCTATGGAAGAGTATACCCCAAATTGAAGATTAACTAATTTTTTTAATGTTATTTTGAATAAGAGCTTGCAGAAATTTAAATGATAATAAAAATTGACAATTTTTCTGCAAGAAATGTCTTTTAGCTGACTACTTGCTCTTCGACTTTTCACTGCTTAGATTTCATCATTGTTACATGTAGAATGCTGGTACATTATTTAAAATCTATATCTTCATATAATAAATATTTTCTAAAATTTAAGAATTTAGATATTTGTCTTTCTTTATAACAACTGTCTCCCCTCATTTTTTTCATAATCCAAATATTTTCTCTTTTGTAAAACAAATATTTTAGTTTATGGCTCAAATATTGGCAACATATACTGCGGTAGAAATGAAAGATCTGAAATAAGAATTCTGTTTCCACCTTTTTTTCAGGTGCTATAATAAATACATCTGCTATAATAAATACATCAATTGCAAAAGTTTAACAAAAAAGATTAAGATTATTTAATTTTAAGGAAATCACACAAAGACTCTTTTAACTTCCATCCAATCTTAAGTATGACTCATATTTCATCATGGAAATATGAGGATGCTGAAACCTTTTTTGTCTGTCACCAATCTCGCAACAGGGTTTTAAAATAAACAGATTAAAAGTGCTCCTTTTCAAAAAGACAGTCCTTCACACAGACAGTATTCCTTGCCCAGCATTTGAACACAGACCCAACAATATGTGCAATTAGTCACTTTTAATCATACTAGTTGCAGAAGCAATTTACAATTAGAAGATCAGGATTAAAAAGCACATAAGATAGAATAAGTAAGATTTTAATTAAAAAATACAAACAACTCCCCATTACCTATAACAGGGGGCTTACAGAAGTAAGCATGAAACACAATACAGAAAAATAAACAGTAAAGGGGGGGGACTTATGAAGGATTACTGTAATTTGCAATGAATTTACAAAAACAGTCAAATGCATTTTGCTCAGAAATAAACTGATGAAAATCAGGAGCCAAGTTATTATTAATATTTCTCAGTGCTAGTTTTAAGACTGATCTTTCTCTGTCAAATTTAGAATGCAGATGAAGTACATGTTCAATATTTTCCTTGCCACCAATGCTGCAATTGTAAAAAGTCTCTGCATCCAACTTAAATCTGCTGAGAAAACTTTTAAAGTTTCTATGGCCAGTAAGGAATTGGATCATTTTTATAACTTGTAAAAAAAATGATGACATAACAATCTCATTTTGATGGAAGGAAAGAAACCTTTTAGTTAAGTTCCGTTTATTTGAACTAGTATATTCTTGATTCTCTGACTCCATAATACTTTCATTCATGACCTTCTTATAAAAGGATTTAAGGATACTGATAAAAATGTCAGTGTCAGTCTTTGCAAAAAAATCGACCCGTTCATTCCCAACAACACCAGTCTGTCCATGAACAAATATGAAAGCAACACACATTTTTTTTATCTTTTAGGTTTTAAAGTTGTAACTGAATCTTGGCAGTTATGTTAGAATGAAGATATTGTGGTTTGGACTGAATATAATACTAATTCAGTCTCCTAAATGTTTCAGCATTGTTTGAGCTTTCTAAAAATTTAAATTAGGTATTGTATCATACCTAATTTAGGTATTCTTAAAAATAACCAGAAGACAATTTCTAATAACAGTCTCTTTCTATTATATATGTATATTATGATTGGCAATGTAAGAGAAAATAAATAAATAAACAAGTTATTTTGTTGATTGATAATTATAGCTACTTTAAGTTTCATTTGTATGCATTTCAATTAAAATATTAAAAAATAAACATGTTCTATAAAATTACACTGCTAATCAATCAAAACTTAAAAGACTCAAGAAAAAGATTTTTTGAAAGCTTTAAGGTTAGTATTATAATGACAATTTAATAAGTCAAAATATATAAAAATGGATGATAAATAATTAAATACCTGTATATCCTAAATAGCAACTGCAGGCAAAATCTTGATAGTTTGAAGATGGTATGCATTTGGCACTGTTTCTGCATTTATTTGGACTGCATGGATCTAGTTCCACTTCACAATTAGTACCAGTAAAAGGAACTTCACAAACACACTGGAAAGCATTTACTAGATCTATACATGATCCTCCATTCAAACAAGGATCGATAGCACAATCATCGACATTGATTTCACAATTTTTTCCAGAATAACCAGGCAGGCAGGTACAAGTGTAACTTGCTAAAGAATCTCGACAGCTACCACCATGCTGGCATGGATTGGATTGGCATTCATCAATATCGATTTCACAACGATGTCCTCCATAACCTATAAATATATATCACTTTAATATGAAGTACTTTTAAACATATTATAGTACTTATATGTTCATGGAGAAAAAGTCAAAATTAAAAAAAAAAAAAAAAAAAAAAAAAAAAAAAAAAAAAAAAAAAAACCAGAGCAAATGAGTTGCCAACTTTGCCACCATAACTGAAATTAATTGTGACAGCAAACATATGATATTGCTAAGTTTAAGAATGCCTTAATTCACAAGTTGAAATAATGAAGTTCCCCTCTCTCCAGATCATCCAGTTTGATCAGGGGTGTATGGGATTTACCAAACAATGAAGACGATGCTCAGTTTCTTAAAAGAGTATGATGTATTAACAAATGAGTTAAGGAACTATGAATGTTCTAATTTGCCCCTTCTGAGGATAATATGTAAAATGTTGAGAGGGCATGGGGTTTTCCAAAATAGTAGAACAAGTAAAATGAGGGTAAAGCCAATACACATTTACAGTTGCACTTAGTAGAGTTCATGTGGTAGTATGTAGAAAGTGGTAGCTCAGGGTAAAAACTTTTTGAAGCTATAAAAGTGATTGCCAAGCATTTTTCACCCTAAATAAAGAAAACTAATTGTATCAAATTACCGTCCAAGCCAAATAATCCTTCTTCACTAATACGCAAGTACCCATATTGTTTCAGTATGTATCATGTTCATTTAAGAAACCAGGTATTTTGAAGACATTTCCTAGTCTTATCCTACTTGAAGGCTTATGTCCTACTTGAAGGCAATGTATTGAGTGAAGTTTTAATATGATTTTCCTAGACAAAAAGGTTATACTAATATAACTAGCTGAGAAAAACCATAAAAACAACAGTTCTGCTAAGAATTAACTTTGAAGCAGAACAACCAGTATTCAAGGATTTTTAACCATTCAGCTGTTGGGGGGGAAGGGTATTGATAAGTAAGTAATTTCTAATAGCACTTTCTTGGGGGTTGTTATTGTTATTTTTATTTCAGCAACTTAAATTACTTCATTTTTCTATAGATAGTTGTGTGCTATTTTATTTAATTCTTAAGGGTTTTTATTTTTAATCTCGTAATTTTATTCTTCTTGCTCATGACATTATAAAAAAGGAAACATACATTTAAAATACATTTAACAACAGATATTAACAGGATTACCAAAATCTGTCTTCAAATTATTCAGATTTGCATATCTATGACTAGAAGCATTCAGGTTAATTCAAGTTATAAAACGAATGTATTCATCAAAGCTATAACAGTTCTAACACACCCACAGTCACTAAGAAAATGAGCTGTATGATTTACTTACTTGAAACTATTAAAACTTTAAAATGATTAAATTTGCCATCAGAATGTTCATATTACATAGGAATTTTCACAATGGCACTGAAAACAATACAGAAACTCACCTGCTGGACAGTGACAGATAAATCTGTTAACTTCATCCTCACAAGTAGCCCCATGATGACAAGGGTTACTTTCGCATTCATTGATATCAGAAAGGCATCTAGCATCATAATAGCCTCTTGGACATTTACATCGGTAACCATCAATCAGGTCAGTACATATTCCACCATTGGCACATGGATTACTTGCACAATCATCAATATTTATTTCACAAAGCAGGCCTATACAAATTATGAGAAGATTTTACTTAAAAAATAGTATATGTTTCCCTTAAAAATAAAAATAAAATAAATAATACGAAAAAAATCTGAAAGCTTTCAGATTTTATATTATGCCCAAAGAGGCATTTTATTAACAACATGTTACCTTTATTTATTAAATATCATATTCCTCATACTTAAACCATAAAATTTAATTCAACAGCAATATCACAAAATATTTAAAAAAGCATAAGAATTTTCAATTCTCTATAATAGCTGATTAGAATAATTTCATGTGATCTTATTTGAGAATTTCTGTATTTATTTTGTTTTTGATAAAATACCTATTCTTTTCATAAAGCTACAAGATATATAATTAGAACTGCCATCCTGATCTCTAGGTAGATTCATGCTTACATTTATGTGTGGCGCAAGTGGCCCTCTATTAATCGAAGAGAATTGAAGTTAATTATTTATTGTAAGCACTGATGTAAAAAGGTATTATTACACAAAAGCATGAAAAAATTTCTGAAATTTTATTTTGCATTAAATATATTTCAGAGAATGACATAAAAAATTTAATGCAATCTTATGCTAACATTAATGCATCATGATATATGAAGTTACTTTAATATCTAAAAATATATAGCTATGCCATACAGTGCTATGCAATAAAAACATGTTTTCTTAAAATCTCTTCCCTCCAATTACAAAATTCAAATAGAGTTGAATTCATTGATAGTTTATGAAAATACTGAATATAAATTTGTTTTTACAATGTTAAGATGTTTATTCGCAATTAAATCTGGAAGCTAAGTTATTAATTAATACACCAATGAATGAGTTTTCAAATAATACATTGATAAAATAGAAGTTAAAATACTGATAATGTTACCTGTAAATCCAGAATGACAAAGGCAAGTGTATGAATTGATGCCATCTATACACGTGGCTCCATTTCGACATGGATTGCTAGCACATTCATTCATGTTATATTCACAGTTTGGTCCAGATGTTCCTGGCAAGCATCTACACTGGTAACCATTAACAAGATCTTCACATTTACCTCCATGCTGACAAGGGTTACTAAGGCATTCGTTTATCTGAGTTTGGCACAATCTCCCAGTATATCCACGTTTGCAGTTGCAATGAAATGCATTTATACCATCAATACATTCACCATGACGACAAGGGGATGACTGGCAATCATTAATATTTGTCTCGCAATTAGTCCCAGTAAATCCTACAAATAATTCATTCAAAATTACATTAATAATGAAATATTCCTTCTAGGAAACTTAAATAATAAACACAAAAATTATTCTTTCTTATTAGAACTTTTATTACAACTACACATGCAAAATGATTAAACTATGGCAATTTTCCCTGCATAGTATGGTAAAATAAAGTATGGCTTTACTGTGCAATAAATAGTTTACGGTTCTTTAAAAATTTGTTTGGATATAATACAACAAAATTTAACAAAATTTTAAATTACAAGAATGGTGACATATGTAATTGTATATATCTTACAATTAACTATCTTACAATTAAGGAAACTTAAATAATAAACACAAAAATTATTCTTTCTTATTAGAACTTTTATTACAACTACACATGCAAAATGATTAAACTACGGCAATTTTCCCTGCATAAGTATGTAAAATAAAGTATGCTTTACTGTGCAATAAATAGTTTACGGTTCTTTAAAAATTTGTTTGGATATAATACAACAAAATTTACAAAAATTTTAAATTACAAAGAATGGTGACATATGTAATTGTATATATCTTACAATTAACTATCTTACAATTAAGGAAACTTAAATAATAAACACAAAAATTATTCTTTCTTATTAGAACTTTTATTACAACTACACATGCAAAATGATTAAACTATGGCAATTTTCCCTGCATAAGTATGTAAAATAAAGTATGCTTTACTGTGCAATAAATAGTTTACGGTTCTTTAAAAACTTGTTTGGATATAATACAACAAAATTTACAAAAATTTTAAATTACAAAGAATGGTGACATATGTAATTGTATATATCTTACAATTACATACTTCATTATCCAGTGATTTGCACATGCATATATACTGTTAGAGTAATACACATATATATATAATATGCCACTTAAGGAGAGCTGCTGCAGCTCCCTCTACCTATAATATTACATATATATATAATATGCCTCTTGAGGAGAGCTGCAGCAGCTCCCTTTACCTATAATATTATCTCTGTTGTTTCAAAATTTAGTTTCTGTAGATTGGAAACAAGAAAAAGTGTAAACAAAAAAATGAGTTCCCTTTGATGTTGTAACTCTAAGTCAAGGATGTCAAACTCGTGGCCCGCGACTTTTGGACTTCTGAAGAAATACAATCTACCTTTGGCAAAATTAAATTCTGTAGCTACAGATGGCGCTCCATCAATGACTGGGAAAAACAAGGGCTTCGTAGCATTACTAAGAAGAAAACTTAGTGAAATTCACGGTTCAAACATTCATCATATGCATTGTATTATACATCAAGAAGTTCTATGCACGAAAGTAATAAATATGGAGAATGTTTTGTCATATATAAAAAAAGTTATAAATTTTTTTAAGATCTCGAGGTTTAAATCAGCGTCAATTCACTGCTTTCTTAAGTGAGTTTAGTGAATATTCAGGTTTGTCCTACTATACCGATGTATGTTGGTTATCTTGCTCCAAGATTCTCAAACAATTCCAGGATTTGAAAGAAGAAATATGTCCAGTTTTTAAAAACGAAAAATCAAGACGTAAGTTTGTTTTACGATCCAATATCGGATACAAGATTTATCTTTCTTGGTTGATATAACCAAAACACTTAACCGATTTAAATTTATCGTTACAAGGAGAAGATCATATCATTACGAACATGTTTGACATAAATTAAAGCATTCAAATGTCAACTAGTTCTTCGGGAAAAAGAACTTAAAAATGAAGATTTGACGCACTTCCCGACGTGCAGCATGAAACAATCAAGTTTAGATGATACTTGTTCGTATCAAAAATACGCAGAAAAAATTGCAAATTTAACAACTGAACTTGAAACGAGGTTTAATGATTTTAGTTCCCTCGAAGACAATTTTTTTTTTTTTTTTTTTTCTTCGATTTTCTCAATAAGTATTGACCTCAGTACCCAGCCATATGCAAATGGTGGTGATCAAGATTCAATGCAACTCAAATTTGAAAGCAAAATTCATTGAAGTAGGCTTGCCTGAATTTTACAAATATTTACCAGCCAGGTTTGAAAATACTCGAAAATTCACATACGAAATCATTTCCATGTTTGGTAGCACTTATCGGTGCGAGCAGTTATTTTCAGTCATGAAAGGTAACAAGTCTCCTATTAGAAACCGTATTAATGATGCTCACCTTGGGTTAGCGTTGAAAGTTATCACTGCAAGCAAAATTTCTCCCGAAATAGGAAAGATAATAGCAGAGAAGAGATGTCAAGTATCAGGACGTAAACATTAAATTTTTCTTGTTCTTTTCTATATAAAATATATATATATGTTTATTATTGTATTATTCGAAATAAATCTACGTTTCTATGATATTGATTTTTTTTTTCGGCCCGCCTAAAGTTAAACCTTGTTTGTTTGGCCAATGCTAGAGTTTAATCCCTGCCCTAAGTCTTCGTTATTATGGGAATAAAATATGGTTATCCCTCTAAATTTGACTGAGTTCAAATAGACTCACTATAGCTTCCAACAGAGCTGAATTTAATATGCATTTACTGTAAATCTTGCATCAGGCTATATTATTACTCACCGTAATTAAGGATAATGCAAAATCAGGCAAAGGAAAAAGTTAGAAGCAAAACAAATTTGACTTATTTGTAAAGCTTATTTATTAAACAAAAGGTAAAGAGCAAAAACAGATGCTATATGTTTGATATTATTAAAAAAATTAGCGATTTTTTTTCTCCCTGGAGCAAATTACCAAAAAAAAAAAAAAAAAAAAAAAATTATTTACAAAAAACCAATATTACATGGTTGGTTTGATTGTTAATACATTGTATGTCTCCCAGACGATGCAATACAGTCCGTACAACGCCTAGGCATCTGAGTATCAAATTATCGATCTGATCTTGGGGGATATTACATCACTCAAAAAGCAATGCACTCCGAAGTTCCGGTAGACATGTAGAAGGAGGTTGACGGGCTGCAACTCGTCGGCCAAGCATGTCCCACACGTGTTCTACTGGTTCAAGTCTGGTGAGAATGCTGGCCAGTCTGTACGGGTGATATCCTCCGATTGAAGGCATTCGCTTACGATATTTGCATACGATATTTGCACGGTGAGGACTGGCGTTGTCATCCATAAACAAATTGTGTGCCCATGGCACCCCGAAACAAATGTACATGTTGTTCCAGAATGACGTCCCGATAGATATGGCTTGTCATGATTCCAATTTGAACATGAAGGTCAGTTCTGGAACCCAGAATAATTCCACCCCAAACGAGCACTCCTACACCACCGTAACGGTGTCGTTCAATGATGCTTTTCTTGGTGGTAACGAATACCTGGAGCTCTCCATATGAAAGTCCGGCGAGAATCAGACTGCAAGCTAAACCTGGACTCGTCGGAAAACATCACACAAGCCCACTGTTGCGGTGTCCACAGTGCATGCTCTCTACTCCAGGCTAACCGCAGGCGACAGTGAGTTGCAGTAAGTGGAACGCATCTGACAGGTCTACGAACATATAAACCAATCTGCCCTAAGCGTCTGTACACGGTCTGCCTTGAAATTGTCGTACCAGTGGCTGACGAGACAGGTCTCAGGCTGTGCTCCACCTGTTTGTTTTGGCAGTAACTGCCAAATACCGGTCCTTATTCGGCGCTGTAACTCTGGGGCGACCTGTGCTGTAACGTCTCTACTCACATTACCATCATCTGGAATCGTTGCCAAAGCTTGGAGATGACACTCTGGGCAATTCCAAGTTTGTCTGATACTTCCAGTTGGGTACGCCCACATTCCAGACGGCCGATAATTCTACCACGTAAAAAAATCATCCAAATGCGTCCTTTGTCGGTCACTGAAATGCTTATAAAGCCCCTGCGAACTATTTGGTTATTGCACTGAAATGCTTATAAAGTGCCTGCGAACAATTTTACTTCTTTGCCTGTATTCGTTATATATCACTTTCTTACATTCTCGTCATTGTGAAGTACCATCGGTGTCATCTGGTTACTTCCTAAAATTTGCATATGATTCTTGAAGATGTGTGTAGTGATGTTACAGGTGATATTTTAGTATATTTTAGAGTTCGATTTCCGCGTGACTCCGAATTATCCTTAATTTATGGACATGAGTGTACATACAGTGAAAAGTTGTTAATTCGGACCCCCATAATCCTGACCTCAAAGCTAAAATCTTTCTGCGCATGCACCACGTTGGCACATGCACACAGGCATTTTACGCGTGCGCATAAGACCTTGACTACTGCGCATATGCATGTGCGCAAGTGCAGAATACGTTTTCGCCTGCGCGTTTAATGTATAATGGACGGTGTAAGCTAAAATTATCTAATTATCTATTTCAGTTAATGTTAATGATTGCATTGTTCCTTAATCTTCGAATTGGATCCCGCTTATTATTTTTTACAGACTGTAAGAGCAATTTTATAAAAGTAAACTTGAACTTTTGATTATGTCAAATAGAATTTCCGATGCTGGAACTTCCAAAGGATCTACAAAACAAAAGTATGTTTCGATGTCCAACAAACAAAAAGTGGAATTGCTGCAAAAAATGCATAAAGACATGAAGAATGTGACAGAGAGGTTAGTGAAAACGAAAAAATTTCGATTGACGAGTTAGTCGGTATTCTCGGCACAGCAATTAACGGGACTTGAACAGCGGAACTTTGTAACTGAACAAGAAATTATGTCTGTTTATTATAGAATTAAAGAGAAAGTATTATCACATAAAATGAAGCAACTTAAACAACTTACATTAAAAGAAATGTTTAATAAAGTAAACAAATAAATATTAAGCTTTTTTTTTTTTTTTTTTTTTTTTTTTTTTTTTTTTTTTTTTGTAAATTTTGATACCCTTTAGATCATAATTGTTCTTTATTTCATAAATTACGGTTTCATATTTTTAATTTTAGAATTTTTGCATGCCATCTTATGAGATTTAAACTGATGGTCTATAATCCGGAAAAATCGATAATCTGGAATCACTGAAGTCCTAACGAGTCCGGATTAATGACTTTTGACTGTACTATTTTATGGTATTTCAAATATAAAATGACCCAATTAGCAAAATACTCATAATTAAAAGTCAGCTATTGCTTGTAAATATGGTAAATAATTTTCTTTAAGACACTTAAATAAAATTCTAATCAACTAAAACCGCACATAAAACAGAACATCAAATGCAAATTGTGAGAAAAGAATTAAACAAAGAATAACTGTTGCCATTAAATGTAATATAATTTTAATGCTGCCAATAATAATAAATAATAGTACCACATTGGTAAAGTGTTAATATGTAATTAATAAATAAAGATATAAAACAGTTTAATATATCTATTACTAGTATTTGTTCCGCATGTTATTGTCTTAATATCTATAGTTAAACACTTATAAAAACAGACACACAATTATAATAATTTGACGATAAAACTGTGCAGCCGTGACTTAATACAATAATTTGACAATAAAACTATGCAGCTGTGACTTCATACAAACTCAATATATACAAGTGTATAATAAAATCATTATTAAATAATATTTTAATAAAAACTGCATCTCAGAAAGAGTAAATACTTGGAAACCAACTGCAGAAGACAAAAATGACACTGAATGTAAAAATAAATAAATAAAATATGAAAGGATTCTAATTTTAACAGTCACCCTTAAAGAGCTTTAAAGTCTAATATGGTTTATCCATATATTTTATTAATAGAGACAGCCCAGGTAGAATAGTGAAATGTTTTATAAGCTACTTATTTTTAAGTTCTGTATCTTCTGTGCATTTAAAAAGTGAAAAATATATAACACAAGTCTATAAAAATACTGAATGTTTTTAATTAGATGCATCATGAATTCAGTGCACTTTTATTAAAATCAAGCTAATTCAAAAGAAAAAATAATATTCTTAAAAATTGCATCTACTGCTTTAAAATAGCTTGGTATGTTAATTCCATAGCAGGCACATTCAGTTTTGCAGATAAATATTTTACATTTTTTTCGAATTGCAACAGACTTGAATGAAAAGTGAAAAAACACAAAATCTTGTTTTTAAACTAATCGCTCTTTTGAGCTAATAATAAAAGATAAATTAAAATAAAAAAATTTAAAAAAATATATCTTCCCTTCCCCTCTGCCAGAAAAAATGCTTGAAATATAGAATCCAGATGGTAAATAAAATATTTAAACCAAATCAGTTACCTTGAGGGCATAGGCAAATGTAGCTTGCAATGGCATCTTTACATCTAGCTCCATTTTGACATGGATGACTTAGGCAATCATCTTCATTCACTTCACACTTTTTCCCAGAGAATCCAATTGGACATAAACATCTGAACCCATTTATCATATCACTGCAGATACCACCATTTAAGCACGGTTTAGAATAACATTCATCAATATCTTCTTCACAAAATATTCCAGTATAGCCTGTAAAATAGATTTTATTTGATATTAATATAAAAATTTTAATTTATTAAAATGATAAATAAGTAACCCTTTGTGGTACTTTTCTGTTTTGAGGGCCGTAAAAAAATTGCAGCGAAAATGTATGCGCGAAAGCGCCAAATCTAGCAAGCACGCCCATTTAACAGCGTGCCAAATCTAGCGTACGCGCTGATTTCAGATTGCGTAAGTTTATATAGTTCTATATTTCTTAAGATGCCATTGAAATACTAGTTTAATTTTCAATTCCTTTTTTGATATCCTATGGATTTAACAATTTGGGAATTGGCCATGATGAAAAGTCTGCGATAGAATTTTGGGTAAAGTGCAGAATCACCCACTGCTTGACGCGTTTTTAAGAATTGCACATACTCGGTATCCATGTACACATCGACTTATTTTCACTTAAAAAAAATCCCAGAATTGCACAAAAATGGCACTGCGCCCACCCTTGACATTATCTATATACACATCGACCTATTTTGTCACATAAAAGTAAAGGAAAATTGACAAAAATCCAATTGTTTTTCCCCCTTGTAAAAAGCGGCAAACAAATAAGTGGGCGATTCTGCACTTTACCGAGAATGTTTTCAAAATCATTCATTATAGAAAATTATGTTTGAACCATCAACGAGATGACATTACGCTTTACCGATAACTCGGTAGCGAAATATAATATGAAATTAACCTTTCATCTAAATTAAAACATCAATATTAGATAGTTATTTACTATTATACTTCCTTTCTTGCGTTAGGGTAGCCGCAATTACTTTTGACAGCGTTGGTGTCAACAAAAGTTTGGCGACTTTTTTACGGCCCTTGAAACCGAATAGGTTTTTTCTACTCTATTTAATGTAAAAGTATATTAGAAAATATAAACCAGGATTTTTTTCCTGGGATCTTATACACAGAAATTATAGCATACCACTAAGTAACCACGAATTTTTAGCTGAAGTCAGTTTACAATGACTCGGAATACTTTAAAGAAAATACTACTCGTCAAATTTTGCATTGAATTTTAGTACAGTACCAAAAAGCACAGAATTAAAAATAATTATTCGCCAAATTTTCAGAATATGCCAATCTCTGGCAACCATGTGCATTACCATTTTTCAGGCAAACATGCTTTGAAACATGTACTTCACGGTACTTCAGTCAAGTTAACATCACATTTTCCTATACGTTCTTTTCTGGTGTATTTTAAGTTTCGACGGTTTCTATAAACAAATCATGATATTTTTTGCCTCAATTTTAAAATATCAGTTTGAGGAATTTAACGGCGATAGAAGAAAATGCGGTAAAATTTCTGCAGGAATACAGAATTTTGCTGAAAAATTCCTAAAGAGAACAATTTGGTGATGCGTTTTGTAGGTAACCGCTGCGGTCGAGGTTTGCGCGAAGCCGAATCTCAGCATTTCTCCGACTTCTTTGAAACGGAAACAGATCGCTGTGTTCTTGAAGAGAATAGCGGAAAAAGAATACAGAAAGATTTGAAGAAGAATGTGTTTAATTTTTTTAATGTATCACGTAATCCTTATTTTATAATAAAAATATATATCTTAAATTGATAAAATATTTTCTTTTCATACGTTGATCATGTTTGCCGGCTTATGATAAATGCCGTTAATATGTTATAGTTTGGGAATCTTTTTAAAAGAAAGCCGCTAAAGTCTCCAACTTGTGCACGATAAGTAACTTTTACCCTTTCATCTGTAAAAAATCGCTAAACGGCGGCAATGTGACAATGTTAATACGTAATTAATAAACGTACGTATTAATAAAATTACATTTTCTTTAAAGTTTACAGCTTCGATTACTACTGCACAAGAGGTCCAAACACGTAATGTCTGGACAGGAAAAACCTGCCAGAGCAACCCAGAGAAACACCGATACAATAAAAGTACTATAATCTTCACTTTATAGTAGTTATTCCTTTAGTCAATGACAGAAATGTGAAAACTGACATATTTTTTAAACCTTTTAACGGGTATGGTATCTATCATTTGCTCCGAAACTATTCAATTTATTTTACCTTAAAATAAAATTATTAATTATTTCCATAAATAACTAAGAATATATTTAAAAAATAATTAGTTGTGAAACTTTAGAGGTCCTAACCACGTGAATATTTCATGTGATAACAACTTACAATATTTAAACAATTAAGCATAAGCGAACAGACGAAATCAGAAAAGAACGTTGAATAAAGTTGTCGGAACAAGTTAACATTTTTAAATGTTCCCACATGTATGGAGAAGTATAATTTGTTCCGGTAAACGCATCAGCGAGATTTTAGCATCAAATAGAGAAAGCTGAAGTATGAGGCGGTCAGCCGTGCAATCTGTTACTCAAAAGCCGTTTATGGACGACCCCAAGTTTACCTCTTTACAAACAATTAAAAAGGATACACGCAGTCATTTAAACACATGAATGAATTACGTTGCATTTTAGAGCGATTTATGATGCCATAAATAATAAGCGAGCAATTGTTATTAAAACTTTGAAAATAAAGTGCAGAGATTTAAAATAAAATCTGAATGTTATATATTATTTCGAGGAGCATTCTAGATTTTTCGAAGTTCACTAATAGCTCAATATTCCTTCGGACCTCTGAGAACGAAATTATGATTTAGAGTTCTTTGCCTTTTACTAAAGGTGAAAATTGCATCGAAAGAAATTGGAATAAAATGTTTAAGCATGATTATTAAACATATCGAAAGAGTATGATAGTATGTACTAGCCGCTCAAAAAATGTGTCGTTATCTCTTACTGTTTGTATAAAATGCTCTGAAATTGCGTTTTGGCAATAGAACAACTTAACAAAGTATTTCCACAAAACTTTTCTCTGCTATAATGTTATTCTGAAATTCATTATCTTATCCACATTTTATACCTTAGATCGGTATAAATAAATAACAAGCATTACAATAGGAAATCAAACATCCCATCAGAAAGCCTACTAACACCGATTTTTCAGGTCCGCTTTGTTCAGTAAAAACGGAATACTCAAATTCCCTCAGCCCACCTAACTTTCTTTCTCGGAAGAAAGTACTCAGCTGCTATCAAAGGGTGAAAGTTTGGGAAATGGGGAAAGAAAGAATTCCCTTCTCAACCATTCACCAGTCACTCCCGCTTTGCAAGGGCCATAAAGGGTCAAATGAAACAACCATAATCCACAACTACGTTGATTACGATGCTAGTGCTCCGGGTTCATAAACTCTTCATTGAGCAATTACATGAGATTTTTCAGTCCCACCCGTGCTAACCTTTCTCACTGATAGACGATAAAGTCCACCCCCTCCAAAAGGTCAAAGATTTACAACATTGGCAACATACAATACATTTAAGTAATGATTACGACGAAAAATTTATTTTGTATTCATACCTACACATGTTTATGGTATTTAATGCGGATGGTATCTGAGAAAAAAGGTAAATGATTTTACCAATAAAATTACTACTCTTTTATTCTAAAAGAACCGCTTTCCTGTATTGGCAAAAAGGGGGATCATATGCCCTATTTCACAAATACTCTTAAATGCGTAAATTTATTCATTATTTTTCATTCTTATTCTCTGTACACTAATTACAAACTGAATCATTATTAATTACCAAAAGATTGCAGTATCAAATGTTTATACAAAACTAGAAAACTGTCTGCATCATCCATAGATATAATACTGAATGTTAAAAGAGAGCGAAATAAATATTCAGAGATATAAAAACTGATCCATGGGAATTAATTAAAGGAAGAGATATCACTTTGAAATTTTCATTGCATTTACGTTACGTTATTCGATTACAAAAAAACTACTACGTTATTATTAGACTAAAATTTTCTGTCTTGGAGAATCATGGGCGGCGTGGCTAAAAGAGATTAAGAAAACGATTTACTTCTGATTTTCTAGAAACCTTCTCAGAAATCTGAATCCTTTTATTACTCTTGGTGGAAGGACATTAAAAAAAAAATAAACTCTTTTTTTTTTTTTAAACGTCAAATATAAAAGAAAGAGAGAGGGAAACCTCACCTGGCATACAAACGCAACGAAATCCTCCTCTCTCGTCTAAGCAAGTGCCTTCATTCTGGCATGGATTTGAATCACATTCATTGATATTGATTTCACATCTTGGGCCAGTAAAACCTTTAGTGCAATTGCAGCTAAATGAACCTGGTATATTTACACACATACCATCATGCTCACATGGATACCCTAGATTTCAAATGTAAATTTATTACACACATTTCATATTTATGAAAATTTAATAAATAAATATTTATTAATATGAAAATTTAGTAAAGGCATAATTAAAATGCACTCTTACCTTCTTCACATTCGTCTATATCTTCTGTACAATCAGTTCCTTTAAAGCCATTTGGACAAGAACAAATATATGTTCCATCAATAGGACTGGTGTCACACATAGCTCCGGCATGACATGGATCACTTGCACAAGCATCATCCAGGTGGCACAGAAGACCTATCAAATTATGCAAAACATTTTTTTTTTTTCCCAAAACGGTACTACAAAATCACATGGCTTCTACGCAATTCATTTCTATATGTGTTCAGACATGAGTCACACATTCAACAGATATAAATAGAACATCAGACAAACATTACGATGTCCGAATTTATAACACCACATTCTTGAGGAAACGAACAACATGCTAAAGTAAAACTGCGCATACATAAAACAACTGCTATCAAATTCTTTTACTAAGCATAAGCAAAAACACTGACGTCAAAGAATACTATTTTACTTGCACTCATATGAAAGCTAAATTTTTAATCTTTGATAAGCGCCAAAACACTAAGATATTTTACCTGTTTTTCCGGGAGCACACTGGCAAAAGAAAGACCCAACTCGGTCATGACAAGTTGCACCATTAAAACAAGCAGCAACAGCACAATCGTCAATATTTTCAGAGCAGTCTTGTCCAGTCCAGCCATTGACACATATGCATGTATATCCACCAATTGTGTTAGTACACGTGGCACCATTCTTACACACGCTAGGCCTCAGAGCACACTCATCAACATCTTTGCCGCAATATGTTCCTTTAAACACAAAAGAAGAACTACTTACTTATGCAAGTCATTAATGGGGAGAAAAAAAGGTACACTGTTAAATAATTTATTAATTAAAGATACAAATATATTAGTAGTAAAACCAAGATTAGAGATTAAGTCAAACTTTTTAACTACCTGTATATGTAGGTGGGCAGTGGCAGGTGTAAGTATTAACGCCATCGATACACGTTGCACCATTTTGACAAAGATTTCCAGGGCAATCATCTATGTTAATTTCGCAATTTGTTCCGGTAAAACCTGGAAAAAAATAATTAAATTTTAAATGCGATTAGATTACGAAATACTCGGATTAAAAGAAAAAAAAATAATGTTCCGAACCATTCTTTAATACAATACATCCCCATCATTTTAAAATACTTTATTGTTCACATTCCCGGTTCTCAATGTTATTTAGTTGACCTATTGACTGTTATTTATCATCTTAACGGAGTTAAAAACCACAGACAACTTTTACAGAACAATGCCCAATTCAAAATCGCATCAGAAAGTCAAACAGTATAAGAAAGTAAACTCCGAATCAAGAATTTTCATAAACTGCGCGGCGATTGAGGTTAATGTCTATTGCCTCTTCGCATCGATTTAAAAAGCAGATATTTTATTGCAAGATCAGCATTTTATCTAGGCGATCCAATTTCTCGTTTTGCAACAATACTTTGACTAGTAACAAAAGAATCATGATAGAATGATGTTCCAAAAAACTTCGTATAAGCAGCTAATCCTACGGCCGAATATTAAGTCCCCAACACTGTTAGTCTCGTCGTGAATATGAATAGACTTCCCTTAAGAGATAGCCCTAGTGAGTTTTGTTATAATCCAAATAATCTATTCTTTAATCTAGATCACTTTTAGTATACTAAAAGGATAAACTCAAATTCGGATTTCATAAAACTTTAGCATTAAACTGAAAGTTAGAGCACGTACAAACTTTATAAGCCGATGATATCTGTTAACTAAAATCATACTAATTTATTAACAAATTTCATCTCTTTAAATATTATTAATTTAACACAAATTATACAAAATACCTAATTAGCCCTGAAACACATACATATACACCCACAAGGAAGGAAAAAAAAAAAAACAGGAGGTTTATTTATTTGCTTCATTACGGCAAAGTACGCGAAGGTTATCTGCCTTAACTTAATATCATGTTGTGGTATGTTTAATATTTATTTTATTTTATAGTATTTCCTTCCCTGGATTATTTCTTACAGGTTCTTAACTGATTGTGTTGTTTGTAAATGGGTGCATTATCATACTGAAAAGCACATTTTATCGGCATCGTAAATTTTTCCCATTTGCAATAAATGCAATTCTGGGGAAGCCAACCAGTATAGTGATCTGCATTAATTTTCCTTGAGGAATTCCTTGCCAATCCTCTCCTCGATTTTTTACAGATTAATGAGCTTACTGGCCTGATACAATACTTTATTCCCAGGTGGAATTAAAAACAAGAAAAAGATTTTCCTTCCCATATAATTTCCTTGCATGAACCAAGTTGTTCTAACAGCTACAGAACAACATAATGATTTATGATTATTGTGGTAACTAAAGCTGTCCATCCGACAACTCATTAAGTACGCTTGGATGAACTTCAGAATTATACAATTACGATTAATATATTTTACTGTTTCGTTAATCACAATGTAAAAATTATTTATGCGATTCTATACAAAATGTAATATAAAATATGGCAACAATTTTTTCTTCTTCTATAAACAATTCGTATAAAATCAAAAAGCTTGAGACAAACATAAAAAACAAATTAAAATTCTATATTAAATCAACACATATTTTTAAACTGATAAGACATAATAATGACAATAATTAAACAAAATATTCGGCACAGCTATATCTGCCAAATTTATTTTTGTATCAACAAGAAAGTCATGGCTCTGCGAGGAAAAACATTTAAATTGACCAACACCTTCGTGAAAAGAATAATGCATGGTGATAACAACATAGACAGACGTCTAGAAAGCAAAGAACAAAAAAGGTCAGAACAAGAGAACTAGTCGAAGACGGATGTGAAGATAGGGTGGGGGTAATATTATGCAGAATTTTGGGTGAGTAATGGCCACAAAGGTGAGGGTGTATGATAAAGATCTCCCATGGATTCGTTTCTTAACCCGCTCTGCCAAAACCTCTTCCTCACCATAACATCTTTTCTTCTACAGTTTCAACAGATACACCACCCAAAAACCTTTCATCATTTGTTCTTGACGGGAATCATTTCGCAGAGAAATTTATTTCTTCTTTTTTAAAGGCCGGTCTGAGAAAGAGGGCATAAGATGAATATGTTATGGTCTGAGGTAAAACAGCTATGCCAGAACCTGTTTTCCGTGTTTATGTTTCGTAGAAAACCTTGAATTCAATAAATGTTTATTTTAGATTTTTAAGTTAAAAACCAGATTAAAAGCAGATTTTGTCATTCCATAATTTTATCAAATTAATTCTTAAGATGGAATAAAAGCTGTTTAAAGATGCGAAGAATCTGCATTCAAAATTCAATGATATTAAATAGCAGATTATTCAAGCATCTTATGAGGAGGAATTTGGCTGTATGAAGAAGAAAAGCGCATTTTAAATATAAAAATCCTACCCAATAACAGCACTTACTTCAATGTCCGTAAAATACTTCTGTCCGGAATAAGCGTATGTCGTAAAATACGAATAGTCTGCATATCTCCGCATATTTTACCTTTCGCGTAAATTTCAGGTTTCAGGTTCAGTATTTCTTTCACGGTGTAATAAATTTTATTGACAAATAATGTATGTATAAAGCTTTAATGATAACTAAACAAAATTAAAATTAGTACATACTTAGATAACATGTTCTTTAAATTTTCTTCAAAATGGTAAAATACTTTATTAACATTTTCAAATTTCACTATTTAGTTTACATTAAAAAAATGAAGCATAAGTACTGGACGTTCTAAATGTGAATTTTTTTTTTTTAGTTAGGTTTTAATTTTATTCAACAATAAAGATTTGATTTTATCAGTGAGCAACAATACGTGCTATTTAATCTCATGCTTTCTTTTTCCAATGTTTTAAGGCAGACTTTCACAAACTTCAGGTAGAACAGAATAAGATTCTGAAAACTGTATCTAATTAGAAACAAACTGATCCATGATGACTTGAAAATCTATCCTATAATGGACCACATTGCTAAATAAGCGTTTTTTCAAAACTAGTCTTTGTTGTAAGGCTGCAAATTTTTTAGAAATTCTTAATTACCTTCTGGACCTTTGGAATTATTGCCGTTGTTTTCTTGCGCGGCGTGACTTCTGTCTCTCTTTGCTTTACATCTGATTGCCACATATGCAGTAAAGGAGACAATGGTCTTCCCATTCTTACCTCACTTTCTTGACCGATCTTGGAGTTTCACCTGCTAGCTAATCAAAATCATGTGTCCTCAGAGACTTAATTTTCTTATCTAGCTTATTATTCCTATTAAGGCCCCTTCTGGGGCCACATAAGGAAATTCGGTACTTTTCCGTTTCGCCGGCGCAAATCTCGCCAAGCAGAATTTATTGGCGACAACATACAGTATACACATAAAAAATATTAAAAAAATGTTAGTTCTAAGAATTCGTTTTTTGAAGGCATAAACATTTTAATATCGTTTAAAATTTTATAAAAAGCCAATAAATAAAGACAATAAATTTGCAAAAAGAATTTACTATGCTTTCATGGTTCAACATACTGATTCGCCCGTTCATATCACGTGACCCCAAGCGATCTCATCTCACGTAAACTACTCTACAAAAATCGAATGCTCTCAGCAATTATCTACATTAATTTCAAGTTAAATCTAAATTTGGAACACAAGTTTAAATGCAAGAAATATTTCAATTCGTACGAATAGCTTACTCAGAAATTATGTAAAACTGCAGTGCTTTACTTCGCTAATGCATTCTCATTAGAATTGATGAATTTAACCCTTGACTTTACCTTTTCTATATTTTCGGCTTCGGGTAAGCACTGTGATTGCATCCTAATTGACTTAATTACCGAAAATGGCCTTAGACATAAAACTGAACTTTCTGATAAAAATGTTATGTAATTATATGCCAGTATTGAAAGAAACAATCAATCTGATAAGAAAAAGCCGCGACTTGTTTTGAAAATGAGGCGTAAAAGGTTACCAGCGAGAATATTCCGTTTGACATCGGTTGTACCATTATTGGCGACTTTATCGCTTGCGCCGGCAAAACGGAAAAGTACCGGAAATTCATAATTCGTATCCGTTCGAAGGTTTTAATTATTTTTGACTGTTTACGGATGATATTCTATTACTGGATAAAGCGAGGATCTATATAATATTTCTTTCAGGTATGCTGCATCAGAACTTTCTTGCTTCATGAATCTTTGAAAAATGAAAAAAACATCGGCAATATCATTCGACACTGATGCAAACTGTTTTGTAGTTCAGTATTTTTAGGAAAACCAAATCATTTTAATTATCTCAATTTAAATTTAGATTTAAAAAAAATCTTTTTTCCCCCCTTATATTCTTATTACCTTGAAGTGTAACTATGGACTGTATTCTGTGAAGAGTTGGTACGAGTATTTTTGCGAAAAGTTCCAGAACTAAAATGTTTCTTTTGGTAAAATAATTTTCTTCAAGGTATCATTGGTTCTGTGTGCATTCAATCTATTACGAACTCGTAAGCACGCAACAATACGTAAGTACCAAATTTATATTATACTAGCGGGCAAGCGTGTCAGAGGAGCGGGCTACAGCCAACGCAAAATTTATAAGTTCTATGTACACATGAAAAGAAAATATATAAAAACATTTCAATATCAATGAAATCAGTTTATTCTTTCCAAGCAACAATCAATTCGTAAATAATTCTTTTGTTGCCAAACCAGGAAACAAAACCTTTTGACACTTCAGGTTAATACGTATACGTATGACGTTATAACTTAAATTTATCCTAATATAACAACTTTTTCTCAATATCAATAAAAGAATTAACGTATCAATAAAAGAATTAACGTGGCTATAACATATCGTGTCAGTTATCCTAATCCGAAACAAAAAAAAAGTTGTCAAACGCAGATATTATTAAAATGCTGACACTAACGAAACATTTTCAACATACAATGATGCCACATGCAATCGCGTGCTTTCTTGAACATCAGAATATGACCTTATATATAACAATACGTTTAATGTTTGGCAATGCTATTTTTATTTCATATTTTGTAAAACTTACGAATTTTTT